CAGAGGGTGATGTTGCAAGTCGGCAATGTATATTTCTTTGTTGCGGTGATGCTCCCTCCTAAGAAAAGCTCAACTTTGGGGGGGAGCTTCCCCCCTAAAAAAACAACTTTGGTTGGTCAACGAGTTCCTGCACTTCTTTTTCTATATATATAAAAAGGCCTGGTGATATTCATTCTAGGGGTAGGAGATAAATTCAACTCACATTTGAAAACAAATCTGGCAAATTCACACTTTCTGAAATGATTTGGGAACTGCTCAAATTCACAGCTATCTGAATATTGTGATGCCGGTCTCCAATTGGTGTCTACAAAAATGTGTGTATTATGGGGAAATGTGCTTAAAATGAATATATTAGCAGAAAATAGAATGCTGCATACAAAAGCAAGTTTATTAGGAGAAATTTGCACAAAAATCTTAAAATGTGGAGAACTGGATTGAAGTAATTGAGCAAGGGGTTCATATTAAAGGCCCACAGTGCTGGAGCAGTTGCCTGTGGGGCCCTGGACTTCTCAACATTGACAATGCATGTTGAAAATTGCATTTAATAATTTTGGATCAGTCAAAAACTCCCTGGTGAGTCCTGAGAACATTTTGAGGTTGAAAAATTCATATGCCAAATTACAGACATTGTCACTGTTACTGATTACATTGTCAGCCTTACTAATCAATAATAGCTGATTTTATTAAGCTGCTCACATATTATGCCTATTACATTACAAATCTCTCTCCCTCCATCCCTCTCCCTCTTCCTTTTAATTGGAATTGCTGAGGAGATTGTTTTCAGCTTTTGATTTGACATTCACACACCACCTGGTGACCGAGTCAAGGACTGCATTCTTTAAACAAAACTGGAGACATGCAGGTCAACGAGACATTTTCCCTGTGTCTCAAAACCTTTTTTTTCCTCTCCTTCCAACACAAAGCCATGATCCAGCCAGAGTTAAACCCATTTAAGTCTCATTGATTACTATGGGAGAGTTAATTATGCAGTTAAATCTCCCGCAGAAACCTGTGGGACTTAAAACTGCTTACTTCGGCCTGGATTGTGTCCCTAATTGTTGTCAGTAACACAAACAATTAAATTTAGTACACAGCGGCCAAATATAATGGCCAAAAAAGGGCTCATAATTGGCTGTGTCAGCATTACCTGCAGCCTTAACGGAGAAGGGGGAGTCTGAGTATTCACATTTTAGTGAACCAGGACTCCTGGTTCACACCTGCATGGGCATAGGAATGGGGGGGATATTGTTTACTCTGCATTTTGATACAAGCTTGGCTGACCTACCGTATTTTTCGTCCCATAGGACGCTCCGTCCCACAGGACGCACCTAGTTTTTTTTGGGGGGAAATAAAGGAATTTTCCCCCCTTTATTTCCCCCCCCCAAACCAGGTCGGGGAACAGCGGGATGACGGCGCTGCGCCTCCCCGCTATCCCCCGAGCTTGTGGGGCTGGCCGATGTCTGCCCGGCGCGCGGGGCGCTCTGCTTCAGGGCGCTCCGCTTGCCGGGCAGCAGGCTGCTATCCACAGCGTGGGGAGCCCTGCAGGAACTCCCGCAGGGCTCCCCACGCTGCAGATGTCTGCCCGGCGCAAGGGGTGCTCTGCTCCAGGGCGCCCTGCGCGCCGGGTGGCAGGCTGCTATCCGCAGCCTAGGGAGCCCTGCGGGAACTCCCGCGGGCTCCCCAGGCTTGCTGATAGCTTCCTGAAGCCTGGAGAGCGAGAGGGGTCGGTGCGCACCGACCCTCTAGCTCGCCAAGCTCAGCGAAAGCCTGTATTCGCCCCATAGGACGCACACAGATTTCACCTTCATTTTTGGAGGGGAAAATGTGTGTCCTATAGGGCGAAAAATACGGTACCTTACCTGGACCTATGCACAGATTAGAACATAGACAAGGTTGCAGATTTAATTATCGTATAGGACAGCTGCATATTCCTGCATTGCAGGGGATTGGACTAGAGGACCCTCAAGGTCCCATCCAAGTCTAGAATTCTGTGATTCTACATTTCTGAGCTTGCCTGGTCAGAAGTTGTGCAGGCTTTCCCTGCAATAATCACAAGAAAAATAAGAGATCTAGGGATTATCTCTTTGCATTTAAGAATGGTTTGTCTGAAATCAGAGTCAATGATACATTAAAAGCCCTTTAAAGCCCTTCATGGCCTAGGACCCTTGTACCTATGGGACCACCTCTCCTGGTATGCCCCACGGGGAGGACCTTAAGGTCCATAAATAGCAACACCCTAGAGGTCCCAGGCTCTAAGGAAGTTAGATTAGCCTCAACCAGAGCCAGAGCTTTTTCAACACTGGCTCCGGCCTGGTGGAACGCTCTGCCTCATGAGACCAGGGCCCTGCAGGATCTGATTTCTTTCCGCAGGGCCTGTAAGACAGAGTTGTTCCACCTGGTCTTTGGCTTGGAGTCAATTTGATTCCCTCCCCCTTTTTTCCTTTCTCCTCCTGCGATGAGGCTGCATTTTAATGTTTCAATGTTTTAATGTTGTATTTTAATCTTGTTTTTAAGTTGTATTCATTCAACTTGTTTTTATTATTGCTTGTTAGCTGCCCTAAGCCCGGCCTTGGCTGGGGAGGGTGGGGTATAAATAAAATTTATTATTATTATTATTAAAAATACATTGTAGCAATCAAAACAATCTATAAAAGTTTCATTGACTTCTTTTGCATTACTCTGGAGTAACTGATTTGCAACATGCAGCCTGTGATTAAAGGAATTGTGAATCAGGTCGTATACGATTATGCTAAGCATGCTTCACTTAATTTTATCAAGTACAAAATTGCATCGGGTTGAAAATACTAATTCAGAGCCCTTGATTGCCTTTGACCATTATATTTAGGTTGAAGATTACATCTATTATAACTTTTGCATTGTAAGCGGGAGGTGGAGATTCAGAGGGATATGAAAACCCCAAGCTACAATGATTTGCTCAGCTTATATAAATATCAATCTTACGTTTCTCATCCCTTGACCACCCTTTTTGAAACTATCAAACTACGCATGAATAGTGAGAGTTAAGTTACAGCAAGACAAATAGCTGAAGGCTATTGAACAACGCAGAGAATGGTATATGAAGAATGTGTGCTTTCCATACATTATTTATTTGGCATCATTGCTTTATTACAAGGATTCCTATTTGAATAGTTTGTGGTTGTTTGAACAATGCACGGTGCAAGCAAAACAGCTCTTGGGGTTGCTTTGGAAAACCCGCTTGGAGAAACACCGCCACAGTGGTCCAACTATTAGTGAGAGTGAGTTAGTTCTTAAAAACCTAAGAAAAGCCTGCTGGATCAGGCCAGTTGCCTGTCTAGTCCAGCATCCTGTTCCTACCATGGCACAGATGCCTCTTGGCACAAGAGCACTCTCCCCTCAGTGGCTTCCAGCAACGGACATTCGGAAGCATTATTGCTTCTGAAAAGAAGAACATAGCTGTGATGGCGAATAGCTATCAATAGCCTTAGCCCCCCTGAGTTTCTCCAGTCCAAGATGGTGGCCGTCACTCTTGTGGGAGTAGAGTTCCATAGTTGAACTGTGTGCTTTGTGAAGAAGTGCTGTGCTTTCTTTCTTCTGTCCTGAATCCTGCAACAAGATTCAGGCAACAGATCTTGAGGCAAACCTAGGGGTGAATAATGGTTGGTTATTCACTTTGTTAGTTCTATCATCAGGAGGCGGGTGCCGTTTTAGGTGTGAAACAATGGAATATCTCGGGTTCAAGGGCCAAATGCAACTCCTCAGGACTCTTGGACTATGCCCCCTCCCCAGCCACACCCATGACTAGCCATGAACTGGACTCTCCAGGAAGTTTTTTGCCTGGCTAGGTTGTGCACTTGAACTCTGTTCTTACCTGGGTGGAGGTATGTGTAGAAACTATCCTATTGTATGAAGGTGATATTTATTACTTATCTCATTTTTACCTCTGGCCTTACCCACCACAGACTGGCATGTGACTCATGAATGGACTGCAACCCACAGGCTGAAAAACTTCCCCACCCTGGTCTTAGGCCATTTCTCAAGCATCCAATATACCTCAAGGACGCGGGTGGCGCTGTGGGTTAAACCACAGAGCCTAGGGCTTGCCGATCAGAAGGTCAGTGGTTCGAATCCCCGCGATGGGGTGAGCTCCCATTGATCGGTCCCTGCTCCTGACAACCTAGCAATTCGAAAGCATGTCAAAGTGCAAGTAGATAAATAGGTGCCGCTCTGGCGGGAAGGTAAACAGTGTTTCCATGCGCTGCTCTGGTTCACCAGAAGCAGCTTAGTCATGCTGGCCACATGACCCGGAAGCTGTATGCTGGCTCCCTCGGCCAATAAAGTGAGATGATCGCCGCAACCCCAGAGTCATCCGTGACTGGACCTAATGGTCAGGGGTCCCTTTAGCTTTTTTATTGTACCTCAGGGACTTGACTGCGGCCCATGCAGGAGTGTGTCATGTGATCTGACTTGTGTTACACCTATAGACTTATGGCACCTATAAGCTGCAACAGTTTGCAGAAGCCACACCAGGTGGTGGAGGCGAGGGGTCACCACTGAAGGGTGTCCTTTTAATCAGAATGGTATTGATTACAGGTTTTATTTTTCAGTTTTCTGTTTCCTGTGTCATGCTATCAATTACTAGACATTCAAGGCACATAGGGGGGAATTCAATGTAGTGCTATGGCAGTCATTCTATTAGCTTAAGCATTTCAGCTTGCCAGACAGAAAGATCCCCTCTCCTCCCCCTATATGCTATTCTGGGGTTTCTCCTGGCCCCCTGGAGCTAATATTGAGGAGGAGATGTGCAGAGGCAAGAAATGGGGCTAAGGCACATGGCACTAGCAGAAGTCCTTGCATGGGTTTCCTTTAATGGGACTCGTAGTTGAATTTGGACAATAGCCATTCTTGGGTTATTAAGTATCCTTGAAGTGACGGAGATTTATGCACTAGGAAAGACAAGGAATACAGCCAGGTTGTTGTTGCTGTCACTGCCTCATGATGTCATGCCTGAGACAAAGAAAATCATGTGACCAGTAGCTTGTCTCTAGGATGGTGAGTTCCATGCAAGCCAGTAATGAAGAGTCAACACACAAGCCTTTGGGGTATGAGAACCAGAAGTCCGGTTATCAACACTTAAGATATGGTAGTGAAAGTGGTTGGCCTCACCTCACCCTCTGCTCAGGTAACTCTGCCTTGGCTCAGAGCCCAAGAGTACACTTCCCACTCATTGGTCATCAGAGCCTTCCCTTCTAACCTGCCAAGAGAGGCCTGGCTGCATCACACACAGGTAGGCCCTCAAGGATCCCTACTTCCTTTGAGCTTAATGGCTTTGAGAGTCTGGGAAACCCTCCTTTTGCCCTTTAAGTCAGGGATGGGGAACCTACAGCCCTACAGATATTGGTGGACTCCAACTTCCACTCAATCCAGCCAGTATGGCCAGTGGTCAGAGACAATGGGGGTTGTAGTTCCAATAGTTTCTGTTTTCCAACATCTGCCATAGTAAAACGGGGCATATCCTCCTTTGTTCTGAGTTCAGCCACATCAGTTCCAGACTTGGGCATGCAAAGTATCCAAGAGGGCATATTTGTAGCCCTGTAAAACAACATACAGCCCACCGGTGCTTTGTTTGGGAACAGAAAGATATTGTAATGTAGCAGAAGACCAAATGTTTTGTGTGCCAAATTGAATCCTGGCATCTCCAGTTAAAAAGATCGGGTGGTGGGAGATTGGAAAGACCTCTGCCTGACATCTTGGAGGCAAGAAGAGACAGTACTGGGTAGTCAGATTAATAGCCTGACCTGGTATAAGGAAGCTCCCTTTTCAAATAGCTGATCAACATATTTGCATCTTATTTCACAGAGCTATGCACCTGCAGTCCCAGCTGCTGAGCTGGCAGATTGCATGCAGCATGCATTGACATCAGTATACGACCACGTAGCTGCATTGTTGTGAATGTGTACAGGTCATCTGAGAACTCTTAATGCTGAGTCTGGCTGGATGAATGACCATACTTTAAGGCTGCATGTCTAGAAACTCAGGTCAGAGGTGAATGACTATGTGTTTAAAATGCAGGATTGGCCCTTTCTTGTCCATGCTGAAGATTCCCCTCCCTGCAATCATTTACACAAGTAATTGATGCCAAGGTTGAATGTTTGCAGAATTAAAAGGGGCATCAGCCTGGTGAAAGTTAATTCATTTCTTGTTTCAGTCAAATATTTGGCAATCATTTCCTGTATTCACTCGGCCCTGGATTTATACAGCTTGTGTTGATTAAAGCGGCCTTAATATGCATGGAGTTTTGAAAGACTGCAGATTTAAAGTAGTGGTTGCCAAACTTTTCAGCACTTGTTCCCATCTGTCAAATAAGATCCTGTTGTCGTCTTCTTTCTGGCTCTGTTCCCTAATCTTGTATACACACACACAACATGTAGCACATTATTATTATTTGCTATACAGAATTGGTACGCAAGCTGTAACCATGAAATGGTTAAATATGCAAAGAAAAGCATGAATATACTAACCTTGCACATCTAGTCCCTTGAACCACCACTCACTCAACATTTATTGATGGCAACATGGCAGTCCCAGCCAGCATGGCCAATGTTCAGAGATTATGGAAGTTGTAGTCCAAAAACATCTAGAGGGCTACAGATCCTCACCATTCCTGCCTTAGATCAACCACAGGTTTTGTATGACCCTTGTGTTTTGACTGCTGGGCTTCCAACAAGGTCTCTGCATCTCTACCTGCCAGGATCCATTCTTTTCTCCATCTGGGCCCACTCAGGTTCTGAATTTTGCCTTTCAAGAATGAACAACTCTATAGGACTTTTTAAATCATCATGATTGTTATGATTTTCAGGTCCCTGGGTTCAGTGTTGTTGTTGTTGTTTAGTTGTTTAGTCGTGTCCGACTCTGCATGACCCCATGGACCAGAGCACACCAGGCACTCCTGTCTTCCACTGCCTCCCGCTGTCTGGCCAAACTCATGCTGGTAGCTTCAAGAACACTGTCCAACCATCTCATCCTCTGTCGTCCCCTTCTCCTTGTCCCCTCCATCTTTCCCAACATCAGGGTCTTTTCCAGGGAGTCTTCTCTTCTTATGAGATGGCCAAAGTATTGAAGCCTCAGCTTCAGGATCTATCCTTCCAGTGAGCACTCAGGGCTGATTTCCTTAAGAATGGATAGGTTTGATCTTCTTGCAGTCAGATCACTGCCTTGCCATGGCGAAGGGCTTGAATAACTCAGAGCAGCTATGAACTATGCCAAGCAGGGCACCCAAAACGGACAGGTCATAGTGAAGAGTTTTGACCAAACATGATCCACCTGGAGCAGGAACCGGCAAGCCACTCCAGTATCCCTGCCAAGAAAACTCCATGGACAAAGACAACTGGGTTCAGTAGGAACCCCAAACTACTAATTACAATGCATGCATTATTGCATCCTTATAATGGTTGAACGTCAGAAATTTTTTTGCCTGACAGTCTCTCTTGTCCATGGAAAACAACCTCTAACGTAATGTGTCTGACAGATAACCACAATACCATTGTAAGGGATTCTGACAAGTTTGTTTTTGTTAACCTCAGCTTTCCTTTTAATGCTGTCCCCCCCCCCCAAGGTGGTACTGTAAATGAAATTTTAAAAATGGATTTAAATTTTTAAAAATGCAGTATAGCTATATAATTCCCCTCCAACCCTCGTCCCCACAAAAAAAACAAAAAACAAACCACTTGGGTGCAGTCTGTATTACCTTTTTTTAGTGTTATCTTTTAAATATTTCTGATACATAAAACCACTGATAGCACAGATAATAGAATGAAATAGCAAACCCTCCCAAAGCCTCTGTTAGAATTAAATTTATATGCCTGAGCTTTAGTCACAGCTCAAAAACTCATTATAAGCCAATAAAGTTCAAATATTATATCAGTAGCTCATAATTTAAAGTCAGTGGTTGATGTGCATGATAGTTGTGGTCAGTATAATATTGAAGTGCCTAAACCATTTTTTTTTTATTTTTTTGCAATATATTTTATTAGTCTCCAAGGAGAATATCGCCCACTATCTTTGCAGCATGCATGGTGGACCACAAGTAGCAGCCAATTATTGCTGAAATGCTGAGGGGGTGCACATTCTCCCGTTGACCCATTTCAGCTCAGAGAATATGCACCTCAAAGCAGACTTCTGCAAACATACTCCATTCTCTAGCCAGATGTGGAAAAATGCACACAAGATTCCCATGCACACAGTTGGAATTGTACAGCTGTAGCCTTCTTTTAAAACACAGAATCCCACTGCTCAGCTTTTCTGGAGTTGGGGGCTGGATTCAGTCCTCCCTGTTCTCCATTTGTTCCCAAACATCTGAGCACTTTTTCAAAGGGTCCATGAACGTGTAGACCCTGTTGCTCTGCAATGTGCTATTTCGCATAAGCCCCATATGTAAAGCCTCTGACCATTATCCTTTCTCTTCCCATTGCGGAGCTTCTGAGTTACTTATCCTGTCCTCCATTCTGAGGACATCATAGAAGATCAGGGTGCCCTGTTTACATTTGTTTAAAGGTAAAGGGACCCTTGACCATTCGGTCCAGTCGCGGACGACTCTGGGGTTGTGGCGCTCATCTCGCTTTATTGGCCAAGGGAGTCGGCATACAGCTTAGAATCATAGAATCATAGAGTTGGAAGAGACCACAAGGGCCTTCGAGTCCAACCCCCTGCCAAGCAGGAAACACCATCAGAGCACTCCTGACATATGGTTGTCAAGCCTCTGCTTAAAGACCTCCAAAGAAGGAGACTCCACCACACTCCTTGGCAGCAAATTCCACTGTTGAACAGCTCTTACTGTCAGGAAGTTCTTCCTAATGTTTAGGTGGAATCTTCTTTCTTGTAGTTTGGATCCATTGCTCCGTGTCCGCTTCTCTGGAGCAGCAGAAAACAACCTTTCTCCCTCCTCTATGTGACATCCTTTTATATATTTGAACATGGCTATCATATCACCCCTTAACCTCCTCTTCTCCAGGCTAAACATGCCCAGCTCCCTTAGCCGTTCCTCATAAGGCATCGTTTCCAGACCTTTGACCATTTTGGTTGCCCTCCTCTGGACACGTTCCAGTTTGTCAGTGTCCTTCTTGAACTGTGGTGCCCAGAACTGGACACAGTACTCCAGGTGAGGTCTGACCAGAGCAGAATACAGTGGCAGTATTACTTCCCTTGATCTAGATGCTATACTCCTATTCCGTGTCATGTGGCCAGCATGACTAAGCCGCTTCTGGTGAACCAGAGCAGCGCACGCAAACGCCATTTACCTTCCCGCCGCAGCAGTACCTATTTATCTACTTGCACTTTGGCATGCTTTCGAATTGCTAGGTTGTCAGGAGCAGGGACCGAGCAATGGGACCTCACCCCGTCACGGGGATTCGAACTGCCGACCTTCCAATCGGCAAGCCCTAGGCTTTGTGGTTTAACCCACAGCGCCACCCTCGTCCCTGGATTTGTTTAGGTGCCCTTTTAAACATTTCCAAAATCAGCAGAGGCTGGCCAGAGGCAGAGCTAGCTGCTGCAGCACCCAGAGTGGTGCACATGCTGTGCACCCAGGGGTGGGGCCATGGGGGTGGGGTGAGTGTTCCAGGGGGGCTTTGTGGCGAGCATTCCAGGGGGTGAGATACCCAGTGGGGTGGAGCGAGCTGCCCATGGCAGGCTGCTTCCTGGGCGCGGGGGGGGGGAGAGGGAGCCGCGCCACTTTGCCAGCAGCCTTCCTCCCTTCCCTCTTCCTTTTGACAGCTTGGGGGAGGCTCTCCCCCCCCCCCCCAGGAAGCAGCCCTGGAGCAGGGGAACAAAAGTTCATGGTTCATGGAAATTATATAAATTGCAAGCCTTCCCCGAGCTGTCAAAATGAAGGGAGAAGACCACAAGGGCTGCAAGGACTCTTCTGGCTCAGAAATGGAAGCAGCAGGAACTTCCAGCACTGGAAGACTGGCAGGTTAAGATGGTGGAGTACGTAGAGATGGCCAAGTTGATGGGGAAGATCCAGAATCAGCGTGACAAACTGTTTCAAAAGGACTGGAACAAATTTATATCTTACATGAAAGAAAATTGTAAACATTTGAAAACGTTTAGGTTTGAACTGAAATGTTTTGTAATGTAAATATAAGGAACTGATTTACTGATAATAAGGTGAAATATTATAATATGATAAAAGGTAAATAAGTGATTACAGAAAAGCGAAGAATATGGAAAGTATGTGGAAGTCAGAAAGAGGGAGGGAAGGAGGTTGATGCTCTTGTAGAGTAATGTATTAAGTTATAGAATTATGTAACAAAATGTGAATATGATAAAAGTGGAAAATGTAATAAAAAATATTTAAAAAAAAACAAAATGAAGGGGGAAGGGGTGGAGGCCGCCAGCAAGGCGGTGCAGCTCCGCCCCTTTCCCCAACGGCTAGGGGTAGGCTTGGGAGTCGCAGGCGGGTGGCACGCCAAATATCACCCCCCCCAGTGATGACACCCAGGGCACACCACCCCCACCGCCCCCTTCCTCCGCCCCTCAGACTGGCCTGTTAGGGTGAATGGAGCACTAAGCTACCAGCACCCATCCAGACAGCTTCTCGTTGTCTCAGTGTTGAACTTGTAGAATTCAGCAGGGAGGAAGATAGGCACAAAAGTAGAATTAGTTTGCTCTGCCTGCCATTGGTTCTGCTTCTACCTAACATTGGTCTCCTGTGCCTGTTCCTCCTGGAAATGGTCACCAGCCACTACTGCAAGCTAGCTGGGGATCTGGTTGCCTCAATAAGACTAGTGATTGGTTGAACTACTGGTGTCACAATACAGCCAGTGAGAATGTTACTTTACAAGGAGTGTTGAAGCTCCCCTGCATCTGAGGGTCTGGGTGTCCCAGAGAAGTCATGAGCCTGTGCTACTGATCAGCTGACTGACAGCGGGAAAGACCAGGGCTGTCACACCCCATGAATTGCAGTTGTATGAATTTGCACCCATGAAGCATTTCGACACGACAATCTTGTAGAACGTTTTCCACTCTCTTCTGAATGTTTCTTAATATGCCAAGGAATTAATAGATCACACAGTCATGGACAGAAATGTCCTTGTTGTTTTAATTACTGACAAATGGAATTCTGTCTGTCTTAATTAGCTGAGTCATAATACAAAGTTTCTTTTTCTTTTTCTGCATTTCTTCTTCAAAGGCAGAATTAAAAACAATTCACTTTTATTTTTGCTTTCAAACTGTTCATTATAAAGGGGCGTATTCAAGTAACTCAGAGTAGATGCATGGAAAATAATGGACCTAAGTGAATTATGGTCATTAATTTCATTTTTTAAAAAATAAATTTCATTTTTGCATTTTCTATTTTACATAAACAAATGAATTAAATACATAAACATATAATCCCTTTTGACTTCCCTCCCCCCATTGTTGATCTTAATGTAATGATTTCCCCCTCTGCATCTCTTTCATAACTCTATTTTTATAACTTCTTTGTCAAGCCATAGTTCAAATTTTTACTACAAGTTTTCTGTCAATCCTACCAATGTATGTAACTGTTTACAATAGCTTTTCAAATAAATTATAAACTTCCCCCATTCTTTATTAAAGACCTCCTCTTCCTGGTTTCTAATTCTTCCTGTAAGCTTTGCCATCTCGGCATACTTATGGCCATTAATTTTTGTGGATCTGCTCTGAGTAAAAGTTAGTTGAATAGAATCCAAAATCCTTACTTTCGGAACAGATTCTATTCGATTTCCAAGGTATGAGTATATAAGGTCTTCACAAGGAAATGGCATTTTTGCAATCTAATACCAACCGTGTCCAAGAATGGTAATTTAAAGCTTGTTAAGAATATTGCCCCCTCCACTTTGCTCATTGCAAACAGCTGAAAGTCTGGTAAACTTTGATAATAAATCTGATTTGCAATGAGCATTTGAATACTTTTGATTGCAACTGTATATGCACAGCACATCATGCAGTGACTCAGTCCTGAATGGCAGGCCACTTGATGGCACAGGTGAATTTGAGCTGATCGATGCATGCAGCAAAACCATGCCTTATGGCTCTCGAGGGACACTGCCAACATCAGATCTTGGTGGGGAGACGTATCACATGCTGCACTTCAGAATAAAGTTTAATCCTTTCACATGAAAACTGGTACATTAGGGAGGAAGGCACTTGGTGGGCTGTAACTTTGATATGCCATTTTCTGTATGCAGGGAAGGCTGTTATTTCTGTGTGGGCGAGCATGTGTGAAAGAGACTAAGCCGTAGGCTGTAGCACTTGATAACTCTTGGGTTAGACAAAAAGGAATGAAACTGTACGGAAAGGGGAATTGTTGTTGTTGTTGTTTAGTCGTGTCCAACTCTTCATGACCCCATGGACCAGAGCACGCCAGGCACTCCTGTCTTCCACTGCCTCCCGCAGTTTGGTCAAATTCATGCTGGTAGCTTCGAGAGCACTATCAAACCATCTCATCCTCTGTCGTCCCCTTCTCCTTGTGCCCTCCATCTTTCCCAACATCAGGGTCTTTTCCAGGGAGTCTTCTCTTCTCATGAGGTGGCCAAAGTATTGGATCCTCAGCTTCAGGATCCGTCCTTCCAGTGAGCACTCAGGGCTGATTTCCTTAAGAATGGATAGGTTTGATCTTCTTGCTGTCCATGAGACTCTCAAGAGTCTCCTCCAGCACCATAATTCAAAAGCATCAATTCTTCGACGATCAGCCTTCTTTATGGTCCAGCTCTCACTTCCATACATCACTACAGGGAAAACCATAGCTTTAACTATACAGACCTTTGTTGGCAAGGTGATGTCTCTGCTTTTTAAGATGCTGTCTAGGTTTGTCATTGCTTTCCTCCCAAGAAGCAGGTGTCTTTTAATTTTGTGGCTGCTGTCACCATCTGCAGTGATCATAGAGCCTAAGAAAGTAAAATCTCTCACTGCCTCCATTTCTTACCCTTCTATTTGCCAGGAGGTGATGAGACCAGTGGCCATGATCTTTGTTTTTTTGATGTTGAGCTTCAAACCATATTTTGCACTCTCCTCTTTCACCCTCATAGGGTCCATCAATTAGGGACACTTGAGGAGGAAGGGATCCAGGGTCAACTACAATCCTGTGTTTTATTTGCATTGTGGGGAAAGTAAAATTTGGGTGTATGTGACAAGATAGCATTCCGGATCATTTTTCTTTTAGCTGTGGAAGCATCCCTTAAGGAGAAGGTGGTTTGTTTTCTTTAATTGTTAATGTCAAATAGTAGAAAATCATGCACCTTGACTTGATAGCTTGCCAGATGCCATGCTAGGCATTTATTAGAAGTAGCTTAATCATCACAATGAGCAAGGCAGATGTCATGGTGGGTAGGCCCTCTGAATTCCCCAAACCATTTGCCATTGCTATTCATTTTATGACAATATGTATCTGCGCATCCGATACAGTCAACCAGTCACTGAATCCATATTCTGCTTAATTAATTACTCAACTTAAATTGCTTAACCACTTCCAGAGATAATTAAATTTGTGTGTGTGTGTGTGTGTGTGTGTGTGTGTGTGTTTAAATTATGTGACACAGCATAATTTGCAGTTAGCATGTTCAGTCCCTCCAGAATATTTATTTGGATTATACAAAATGTAGCCTTTTCTGCTCATTCCCTGATAAGACTCTGTGCTTGCATCAATTTCTTAAAAGTTTAGGTTTGACAGTTTCACTCTTCAAGATGTAATTCCTAAGGACCAGATGCTTTGCCAAAGGTCTCCTAATCACACCTCCGCACTTTTTCATTGTATATTTTGCTGGATCTCACCTATAGTTAGGTAAGATTTCAAAACATGCTCATTCTCTTGGCTGGTTTATTAAATGCATTCGGCTCAGTGGAATGAGGAGGTGTAGAGGAGGTGTACAGAAAGAAGAGTTTGCTTCTCTGGGTCACTGGCAATTTAAATGCTCTATATCAGCAATTGAAGAGATCGGTGAAAGGATTACGGATCTTTAATGAGGAATTTGGATTCAGGTTGGGGGGGAGAGGTGAGTGGAAGAAAAGGGAGGTGTCTCGCAAAGGAGGGAAAGAGAACAAAATATATATAAGAGCAAAGAAATATTGATCCTGCTGTGCAAACAGTGCCTGAGTCTTGAGGAAGCCAATGTACAATAGAAAGATTCAGTCTGAGGTGTATAGAAAATCTCTTCCATCCATTTATTTGCATAGAGTAGAACACACACGTACAAGAGGAAAATTAATTTTTGAATGCTCATTTTTGAAAGCTCTGAGGAACATTGAAGACATAGAAATGATAATCATTTCAAAGAAATTGATTCATATTTGTTTACTTATTCTTTATTGCCCCTTTCAGTCAAAAATAGGCACCTGGGCAGCTTAAAAAAATCTATTTCGCACATGCACACAAAGGCAGACCCTGCCTTCAGGCTTACTTTCTAAAAAGACAAGATGTGAAAGGAAAATGGATTGGGAGGGAGGGAGAAGGAAACTGATGAACTCAGGTTCATGTTCTTAATCAGAATATGTTCTGATAACTAGCTGATACGGGAAAGTTCAAGGAGAGGAGGCCCTCACCACGAATGCTCCTTTCTCTTTCCTCCTCTGTTACAGCCTGATATAGTATCTGCTGCAAGGTGATAGCTGACAGACACCTCTTTATTTTGGGTTACATTAATGTGTCAGTATGAAGGAGATCCCCAGTAATGAAGGTTCAGACCAAGAGAGGAGGTTCCAGTTTATTTATTAATATTTTTAAAATAACAATTTTATACCACTTTCTAGCCCTCCAATGTGTTTTATGTGCGAGAACCAAACCAAACACAAGCAAGTAAAAACAGAACAAAAAAACCCTCACTGATTTTTCAAGTTTCAGTGTAATATATGAGCATTTTGGAATCTGCACTGCAGAATACCTTGGAGTCTGTGCTTAGGGATTTTGTGCAGATAGGGAACCATCTTCAAGCAGTTGGTTCAGTTGTTCTAATGCTGGAGAAGAGCAGGGAAGGCAGAAAGACCTAGTGATGAAGCAGATGATAAGTAAAGGGCACAAAAGCAGGGGAAGCAGAGGGTTATGAATGGATTGGGGGGGGGATCCACCACTAGGAGAGAAGGAAGGCTGTCACCAGTAAAAAGAATACCCCTGACTATAAGAGGCAGTTGAAAGCTAGACTGAGGACTCGGCTACACTAGCAAAGAAACAGTGGTTTGAATGTGCTATAAACATGCAACACCAGATGGCGGCAGAGAGCAGGAAATTTCAAGAAGCGATTTTCCGTAGTGATTTTTTTCTTTGTTATCTCATTTCTGACTTATTTATAGAGTCATCGTTTTTCCTGTGTCTACATCCACCCTGGGCTTAAGGACATGTGAGGGATTCAATTTCATACCCTCCAACTTCCTGGTGGTGAAAACCGGGATGTGCGTTCATTGGCCCTGCACTCTCACGCGAGCCCAACACCCCCATCTAATTTTCCCCTTGAGGGGGCAGATTTGTGTGTTCCTGCAACACACGCCCATGCCCTACCCGATCCGGACCACCATCTGCAGCCCATTTTCTCCTTCCCCTCTGCCACCTTTGCCAGCACTGCCTTTCTGCTTGCTTCCTCCCCTTTCCCAGCTATCAAGGACACTACTTGCCTCCAGTCTTGTCTACCTCCTGAATTCCTCCACTCCTCACCTCCCAGACACCCCTCTCTAGTGAATGCTCCCCGTCATCCACCCCCTTCCTCCCTTACCAAGCTCCCAATCCCCCACTTGAACACTGCTTTCCAGCTGCCCTTAACCCTGGAAGAAGTTAGCCCTTCCCACTTCCCTCCCTCCACATTCTAGCTGCAGCCCTGATGTGGTTGAGGGTTGCTTGTGAGTGACCCAACCACATGGTCATGGCAGATTGCTCAAGCCTTTCCCATTTAATCAGAATCCTAATCCTTTCCACCATGTGGTTGCATCATTTACCTACAGCCAAGCAGACCCCATGTGCATTTTTTCTTTTAAAAAAAAAATATTTTGCTTATTTTGCAGTTGCAATCGGGGAAAATACACACACACACACACAGAGAGAGAGAGAGAGAGAGAGAGAGAGAGAGAGAATAAGTAACTACTGCTGAACTCAGCGGGTGATTCTAGTATGCTCTGGGTATATACTACAATTACTGATTGTGGTTCTGAACCTGAGTGGGTGAAAAATAAATATCCACCGCCATTTTTGAAACATGCTCTTTTCTGTGTTCAAACAGGTTTATTTTGTAATTTTGTTGTTGGTAACACTTTAAAAGAATTAAATCTTTTTGAAGTATATAATTCAGCTGAAAAAAACATATTGTGCACTATTCACTCAAAGTAAAACAATTCTAAGGGCACACATTGTGCACCTAAAAATGTAATGTGTGAATGAGACAACCATGTGTTTGGAAATGCATGTATCATATAGGTATATGCTCCAAACAACAAGTGTTGTCTGCATCTCCCTGCCCAGTGTACGCTCAGTTGCAAATCCAATTTGTATGCAGATCGCCTCGCAGTTTATGAAATGGTTTTCAGTCCTATGGATTTAAATGGGAGACTTAAATGCATGCTTAAATCTTTCCTTTTGAAAAGAATGGGTTTTTATTTTATTTTTTAATCAACACAAATTGTTGTGATGGGAAGGATGGTTTTCACTCTGTTGCTAAAAGAACAAAAACAATTACTCTGGTGCAGCACTGATTCCTGGGCGTGAGAGTCTGAGTTGTCCCGCTGACCCTCATTGTCACCTAAAGATTCCCCATTCATTTCAATGAGAGCAGCTGATCCAGTGGTCATTTTTTTCTTTCATTCATTCAGTTCTGCTCCCTCATTTGGAATTAATGGGCCACAGTCAGAAGCATGCCTGGATTTCTTGACCAGAGCAAGTGTTACTCCCCCACCCCAATATTTGCCTGTAACATCCATCCATACTTTTGAATCTATACATTTCCCCTTCAAGCCTTATATTTAATTCCTGTCATATGTTAACAGGTAGCAATATAATCCAGCCAATTTGATACTCAGTTGGTATATTAAGAAAGCCTTTTGAAATTAAAATAAATCACTTAAAGAATTATTGATTCATTTCCACATACGGTGTTCCAGCTGCCTATTAATTGTCGACTGCTTGTCCTCACATGAGACAGAATGTTTTCTCATATTCTTGATTTCCATTTCATCCCTCTCTTCAAGTTAATTATGCAGCAGAGATGTTTACCAAGGCTATTGTTTCCCCTCCTTGTCTGCCACCCCCTGCCCCCCAAAAATAAACTACACTATTCCCATGAAAGTAATATCCTGTGCAGTGGAGCACATCAGAAACTATGGAAAGACTTTGGCTTTCATCCAACTCTATCAAACTGCAGGGGTTTCTTTTTGGTTTGGCTTTGTTCCTTTCTTTTCAGCGCTGTAAATCTTTCAGTGTTTTATGTTGTTTGTACACTTGGAATCTGGGGGAACAATGTGGAGGCTTAGGCAAGAGTGCTATATAGTCCAAAGCAAAAAAAAAAAATAACCCAAAAACCACCCTGTACATTTTTAAAGGAATGGGGTTGTGGTCAGAAACGAGTGAATCCCAATGAGCCTTGTAAGTGATGAACATGACTGAGTATTAAAAATAGAGTCCAGCTTCCAACCTTTCACCCACCACCTCCCTCCTGCCCTATGGATGCTATTTATATAGCTTTCTGAAGAATTGGCTAACGATCACATCAGATAAATGCCCTTGGTTTTCCTAGTCGTTTTTAAGGTCCACAGCAGTCACCTGAAGGGAACCTCACGAGAAGTTGGCTCCTTTACTCAAAAGTCCAAAGTCTTGTATAAGGAACTAACAGCACAGTTGCATGCATGTCCCTTAGAAAGTGGGGGTATAGGATAGCATCCCAAGGATGGGACGATGTGTCACTTGAGTTACAGGACTGCCACATCAAACAAGCCCCACTCCCATGTCAAGTCTACCCTATTCCCCTGTCATGTGTAGGCTCACTTCCTGTCTGATGAAGCATATAACCAGTTCATACGTTTCTCTGCCCTCCGGGGTACATAAACGCAAAATGTGGTGGCACCACTTCATGCCATAATCCTGATTACATGTTTTAGGGTCTCCTTGGGGGGAGAATTCTGTTTGGGCCAGTGCAGCAGGCCCACGTCTCTCATAACAGCATGCAGGTGGGGATCCTAAGTCGGGGATGGTTTTTCCAAGCCAAAATCTGCACACTTCCTGTTCTCCGTATGAAGAGCGTGTCATGCTGATTCACACACCCTTAAAATAATAGTAATAATAAGTTCCCCTATTTCTAGATGTTGCTGTTTAATGTTGCCATAATTTTCAATTTTGCTGTCCACAGAGAGTGAAGAGGTTTACCAGCGACAAGTGCTGTCTATTTCCTGTATCGTCTTTGGCATAGTCATAGTGGGCATGATCTGTGCAGCGTTCTACTTCAAAACAAAGTAAGAGCCTTTGTCTAGCCTCTGTCCTGTCATCCTTATGCCTTTTCAGTTCTTCTGTGTTTTTCCTCCATGGCATTATTTCTGAAGAGAGTAAGATACCAGAGACCCGATATACATTATTTCCTTGTGAGTCAACATGCTCCCCCTCCCCCCCAAAAAAACCCCTGCATGTAAAAACGCCCCCGCCATCTCCATGACTGACACTCATAATGTCATTTATCAGAGTTTGCATACAGGAACACAGATGAATGGGAAGGGTTTGAAGAGGTTAATCTTCTTTGATCTTCTGGAAAGGCATGAAAATGCATCGTTTTCCTACCAGCTTTTCATATATCACAAAAACTGGCTTTGGGTGAAACAATGCTGAACATCCTGGCGACAATTTTGTGATCCATAAAATAAATAAATTCATAGTATGGTAATGTCTGCATCTGGCTCGAGCGTATCTATTTTGATTCATGACAGATTTATCGGTTATATATCGGAAGATGCAGAGGGCCTGGTAGTTTATATGGCTCAAACTGCTCAATGACTCACAAGATTGGGCTGCTGGCAGTTAATAAATGAAGGTCCAAGCTTGCTTAGAAAGAAAGGAAGGAAGAATGGCCCTGTCTGCACCATGCTACACCTCTAAAGCAGTATTATACTGCTTCAAACATTCATGGTGTCGCTCAGAGAATCCTGGGAACTGTGGTTTGTCATGGGCACTGAGTTGTTATTCCCCTCACAACAGCTTCTTACATAGCACGAGGGTCTGCCATTAAAAGAGGAAAAGTCAAAAATTCCATTGAGCATGCTCAAGCCCACACTAAAATTACATTTGGAGCCAACCTAGATGTGATGTTCATTGCAGTAATCCATTTAATTTGCAGATTTTTTGAATGTAAAGAGGAGCCTCAGGACTGCAGGTTTGGGGAAGCCATAGTTTGACTCCTTTCCCTGTTACAGTTCTGACGAAAATGAACTCTTCACGTTGGCTATTTGCATTTCAAGAAACACCTCCATTGCCCGCAGTGTAGGCTTCCTCCAAAGGCAAATAGCCACTACGGAGAAGCAGTTTGTGCCAGGAACTTGGCAAGGAAAGGAAGAGTTACACTTCTCCTGCCCCCCCCCCCCAATGCTTCAGGCTTCCTTATGGCAGTAATTTACCTAACAAATAATATGCATGTTAAGTGCATTCATGCAATTGATGTCACTTCTACTTCAGTCAAGTCTATAACCTACTGAAATTTATTACTAGTAGCCATCAAAATCCGTTTTTGCCCTTGAGAAACATCACATTTAGGCCGCTGTCCTGGGAACTGGGCCTAGAAAACGGAGGAGGTGATTCAAAAAGTGATTTGAATGTCTCTTGGGCTAAGTGCCTTTTGTGTGATAAATGTTAGGCCCTTTGAAAAGGACAAGTCCTTCTTCCCTTGTGTCACCTCCTGTTCTTATCCTGTTTCTGTGAAGAGAGAGGAACATGTATGCCACTCAAAAGCTCTCTGGCGAACCATACCGCATCAGAAGTCAATGATGGACAATGGTTGGGGACTATTTAGCAGTCAGAGAATGATGCAGCCCAGGTTAAGTTCCATTAATTTCAATGGGAGAAATTTCAGGACATGATTTTATTCCTCACTGAAATAAGTAGAATTTAAGTGCACTTGACTTTGGCAGTTTATGCCCACCAAAAAAAAAGGGGAAAAAAAGTAGAAACTTATAATATATGTCCCTATTAGACCTATGCCCATTGCAATAAAATGCTGTCTAGACGAGGCATTGATTACTTTTCTGTTATTTTATGACTAACCATTATGTTTTTATTTTATGTTCTGTGTTTTAGATAATTATTCTGAAGGAGGAAATTTGTGTTCTCGGATGTCACACTTACACATTGTACAACCTGTGCGTTGGCATCCTTGGAATACTCAAATCCACAAATGCATTATTTAATTTCTTAATTTTTATTGAGTAGAACAGTCCCCCCCCACCATTGAACTGGCTTCACTGACCAAATAAAATTAAAGCTTTCTCTGTAGCTCTCATTGTCCTTGCTATGTCACATAGTTCATCAGCTGCAAATGCAAGCAACAGTTTCATGATTCTTAAACCAGGAAACCAGGAGTCAATGTGCATATATCACAACAATATAGGGCCTTGCCCTATCAGAATCTACCATAGCTCCCCATATGTATCTAGAATGTGAAGTGACTGAGTCATGAGCCTAAAATGTGAAAATTTCAGAAGTTTTTGAAATTTAGTATTGCAGAATTTTGCAGTTCTTGGATGATGGGTGGCTCTTAAGAACATGAGAAGAGCTCTACTGAATCAGACCAAAGGCCCATCTGATCCCGTATCCTGTTCTCACAGTGGCCAGCCAGAGACTTATGGGGAGTTCACTAGTAGGGCATGAACAAAACAGCACACTCCCCATTTGTGATTCCCAACAACTGGCATTTAGAGTCTTTCTGCCTCCCAACAGTGGAGGTAATACACAGCCATTGTGGGTAGTAGCCATTGATAGCCTTGCCATCTCTGAATTTGTCTGAATTTTAAAGCCGTCCAAGTTGATGGGCATCACTACAGCTTGTGGGAGCAAATTCCACCTGTTTATATGAGCTGCAAAGAAGTACCTTCTTTTGCTCATCCTGAATCTTCCGACATACAGCTTTGTTAGAGGGTTCTAGTATTATGAGAGATGAAGGCGAACTATCATAGTATATAAAGGTAAAGGGACCCCTGACCATTAGGTCCAGTCGTGACCGACTCTGGGGTTGTGGCGCTCATCTCGCTTTATTGGCCAAGGGAGCCGGCGTACAGCTTCCGGGTCATGTGACCAGCATGACTAAGCTGCTTCTGGCAAACGAGAGCAGCGCACGGAAACACCGTTTACCTTCCCGCCAGAGCGGTAACTATTTATCTACTTGCATTTTGACGTGCTTTCGAACTGCTAGGTTGGCAGGAGCAGGGACCGAGCAAAGGGAGCTCACCCCGTTGTGGGGATTTGAACCGCCAACCTTCTGATCAGCAAGCCCTAGGCTCTGTGGTTTAGACCACAGCTCCACCCACGGGCATATTATTGGTATAGGGAATGCCCATAACTTAGTGAACATTGACATTAATGTGTGAATGCTGATAACCCCTGATGAGTATAATGAACATTTTGAAATAATCAATAAGAAGGGACAAGAGCTCAGTGGTAGACCTTTGTTGGAACACTCAATCAAATTAAAAATATCTGCAATGGCAGATACATATTGCAATGGCTATGTGTAGAAGTTGGGTTTTTGTAATTATCATAAGCTGAAGAAAGGGGTTTCTCTTTGCAGACAGAAATGCAGAGGTATAATAATGAATGCTGAAGGAGGAACATGTGTTGGTCCTCAGTGGCACATACATTGCATGTAGAAGGGGCGATCCTCAGCATAGTTACAAAACTCAGGTACTAGGTGATGAGAAAGGCCTCTTTCTGAGACCTTGGAGAGCAGCAAACTAGTCAGCACAGGCAAAACTAAGCTGCATGACAAACAGACCCAGCAGTTCCCTACACTTGTGAATACATCTCCCCTCATTTTGGACAAGCATCCCTCCATGTTGACAATAGCATTTTGCCAGATGTCATCGTTTGCTGGTTGTTGTTTGTTTGTTTGTTTCCCCCCAAAACATTAACAACATTGGCCTGGGACCACCCATTTTACTTTTGAATGTAGCTGTATGCCGGCTCCCTCGGCCAATAAAGCGAGATGAGCGCCACAACCCCCGAGTCGGCCACGACTGGACCTAATGGTCAGGGGTCCCTTTACCCTTTACCTTTACCTTTATGAGCCACATTTCAAGCAGTCAGTGTAACAAATAAAAAAATGGTTGGGACCAACTGGCTCACTTTGGCTCAAGTTGTACATTGCAGCAGGCTCTGTGTGGTGGATTTTTGCGGCAAAAATCGGCCTGTGCAAGCTGCAAGTCTCAGGGAAAGAAGGGTGGGTGTAAAAAAGCGGTTTAACCCCTTTCCCTTTGGTCATTTTTCCATTTGAAAAACACTTTCCCTAAGCTAAGTTTTCATTCACAGCTAGGGCATCCTCTGAGGGAAAAGTAATCAGGTGAAGCTGTTTTGAGGTGAGAAATACCTGAAGGTGAACTCCATCTACCCACTGTGGTGGTTGGGGAACAAAATACTTTTATATAAGACTCGTCCGCAGCAATCTTGAAATTGCTGTGGTAGTCTCTCACCAGCGAAGCATCTGAAACTAGCTCACAACAAAAAAAAAAGGGCTACTGCTCAAAAGCATGTGCTCTGGATGCAGAAGGCTCCCAAGTTTTTTTTTATTCAAAATTATAACAAGACATATTATCCAAAAACATATCATCCTTGTTTCCCCCCCCCCCATTTTTCCTCCCACACAAACCCACCCACTCCCACCCCACCCCCTGACTTCCCTCGATTCCAGTCTTTGGTTTCTCTAAGAATGCTGTTTTCTGCATGTTACAAAGTTGTATAGATCCTCAAACTATTTAGCTGATTATTATCAATAAAAGATTTGTGAATGTTTATTCAAAACCTGCCAAGGAGTCCAGTTCACTTTGTCGCGTCTTCAGAACTTTGTAAAGGGTTCCCATTCATCCTTAAAGTCACAGTTATCCTTGTCCCGTAGCTTATATGTCAGTTTTGCCAGTTCTGCGTAGTCCATCAATTTTTCTTGCCATGATTCATTACTTGGGGTTTCTTCAGTCTTCCATCCTTGTGCTACCAGAACTCTCGTGGCCGTTGTCGCGTACATGAAGATGTTTTTCAACTTTTTTGGCAGGTCTTTCCCTACAATCCCCAACAAAAATGCCTCGGGTTTTTTAACAAATGTTAAATGGAACATTTTCTTCAATTCGTTGTATATCATTTCCCAAAATTTTTTAATTACCTTACAATCCCACCACATATGATAAAATGTCCCCTCGTTTTCAGAAGGCTCCCAAGTTCAATCTGGCATCTTTAGGCAGGACTGAGAATGTCTCATGTCCGAAAGCTTGGAGAACTGTGGGCAGTGATTGTAGACAATGCTGACCTGGCTCAATATATGGCAGCTTCCTACGTTCCTCTGATATTCTCATTACTAGAACGGTCCGAAAATGAGTGGGGACATGGAATGTGTGGCCAAATTAGCTCAAGGGTTTTCAAATTGACAGTTCCCAGCCAGAACATCAGAACAGTTTCATCTCACAATGATCCTTCTGACATCATAATAGGTCAAGCCACTCTGGCAGTTCACACCCTTGAATCAGCCACAGATGTGGCGGGTTTGAGTTTGTGTGTGTAGATAGATATACAGTGACAGCCAGCATTGTACTGATGCTTGCAGAAGTGAGAGATGTAATTAAAAATCACATAAAAGAACGAAAATGTACTTTTTTCTCTCTTTCCCCCCACCCCGCACCAAACTCACAGTGTCTATGACAGTAGTGTCTCACATCAGATGTAACTGATCTGTAGGAAGGACTATGTGAATGGAAAACAGGGACGTTGTATGTACGCTTGATAACTATGAAAATCCTTTACTAAAAACAACTATTTTTAAAAAGCACATAAAACATGCAATTCATATAATTCCCGTGAACTGTGAACTTTTGTTCCCCAATTCTTTTAAAATGAATGTTTGTAATAAAGCTCCAAATAAGCATACTCTGCAGTGGAATTTCACTTGCAGTGAAATTGTGTTAATTCTGTTACACATTATAGATCAAGCTTCAGGCATGGTTGCAGATAGAGCCATACTTCTAGTGTGAATTGCAAAAAGGAAAGCTTATTTATTGCTAAGATGAGACATATTCTTCTGAGAACATGTCCCCTCCCCTACCAAAAAAGGGCACTTTGCACAATTTTCTCTGATTTTTCCCCATTTCCCCACACAGTGCTCCAGAACAACCCTGGCTGCAGAGCACTGTGAAGGATGCAGAATGGTGGGCAGGCTGCCAATATGCTTATTGCTGCTGTAACCACTTGCAGCAGCAATGAAAAAGAATCAAAGAAACAAACAAAAAGATTCCCCACCCCTGAGAAACTGTAGGAGAATTTCTCCCTTGCTGCTCTAACATTTTGTTGAAGTACTTTCCCCAATTTCTCTGTCCACAAATGCATACAGCTCTACTGTTGGTAATAACAGATGTTCAGATGAATAGAAGTTCAGTGGTTAATGTGCATTAACAACTAGATACTGTTAGTGTGCAGAACAACCAGATATTGCATATTTCCTGGTCAATGTACACAAGCCTTGGGGAATGTGCACATCACAGCTAAACTGTGCATATTAGGAGAACTTTGCACTAAGATGCTGATTAATTTTAATGTTTAAATGAGTTTACAAGTTGTCATGAATTTTATTTTATTTATTTTTTAAAATGCAAACTGATGTGAAAATGTGGAGAAATGAAAGTAAGACTGGGAAAATGAAACACTGAAACAGACAGATTCACTCATCCCTCATTTCAGCATAAACCCTGCATTACTGAGAACAAGTTGTTCTGACCTGCCTGGACTTGCCTTCACAAAGGTTTTGGTTCTAGTCTGTGGTCATTGAAAATATTAGGACAGTTGGAAACAGAAACCACATTAGAATAATTGAGATTAGAAAAATAATAATCACTGCCCATCTTTATCTGGACATCTTTTTGTTTTTGTTTTTTTCTTCTTCTTTGCAGAAAGCAAACAAAACTTATTCAGGAACAGCTGAAAGAGACACGAAATGGGAAAACCTACAGCCTTAATGCTTCCAGCATGATGGCAAAATCAGAGACCAGGGCCGAAAGCCGAGTCCAGCTGCAAAATGTAAGTAACTTTGCCAACCTCCATCCTTAATTCACTGGTTGAATGCTTTAATGCTGATGGTTTGGGTTCTCGTCACCCCCAGATGTGCCACTAATTTGCACCTGTGGTGCTGTGGAATGGAAAAAAAACCTGAACAGAATCATTTTATTTGTCCAACGGTCTTTGTTAAAACAGTGCAAATTGGAGCTTTATTATGCTGTCTTGTCATGGTTTGCCATATTAAACGCCAGCATCTGAATAGATGTAAAATTTATAGGAAAACTTCAGGGAGCAAAATGGGATGTAGGAAAAAAAGTTGCCTTGAACAGCCAGCCATGTTGGCTCAATGTCTTTGGGAACTATATAGCTTTATGGTGCAAAACAGCAGGCTATGAGAAAAGACACATTTAGTTATCTCCACACAAGGTTTTCAATTATATGCTGGCTATGTAAGAAACTCCAAATTAAACATTAGCCAGAACTAATTCAGAACTTGGGTCTGGAGGCAGATGGTTCCTAAGTGGACCCAGGATGGGTCAGCATAATTGAAGGGGTGCTGAATCAGAGCCCCGGGTTGGACTGTGGGACTGTAATTAGAGTTGCTATCTTCTGTATTGATCCCCATTCATTTGCCTTCAATAGCAGAAATCAACATGTGATTATGATCAGGGTCTCGTGCAATGACCTTAAAGATTGGACAGAAGACCATTCTAGAAGTAATCTTGTCCTGGGCTGCATGATGCTTCAGAGGTTGACACTATCACACTCTGAACCAAGGAACAAATCGGAACCAATGCAGATCACACAGAGTTGGTTGTATGATCCTAGTGCCAAGCTCCCCATCAATGTTTTTGAGCCACATCTTCTCCTGTCCTTTTATGCTCTTAAAGTAATTGGGTTCTTTCCTTGAACCATGGTACTGATAGTGATAGGAATACATAAAAGTAATATCATCAAAAACCACACACACACACACACACACTCCTACTGCTTCAGTCCTTCATTATTTTTGTTGTTGTTTATCTTAGAAATGTCACTGCCTTTCCATGAACAGATGCATCGAGGTAGTGGGATTCAAAGCCCATAAGCAAGAATATTCTCCATCTCAGTTTTTTAATGCTCCATTTTACTGGCGTTGATAGTTCGTTTCTCTTTCTTCTCACCTCCCGGAAAGACAAGATTAATGGGGTGCCTTCATTATGCATTGCAATTGACTATCTCGTAATTGAAGGTTGCGTTCTACTTGAAGGTTACTTTGCATAACAGCACAGGCTGCACTTTGGGCACACAAAGAGCTTTTGCCCGGACAGATCTTTCCCCGAAAACCAAAGCCTGGTTTGCCCTGCTGTCTCGTCTACTCGCCAAACTTAAACTGCCTTTCAACAAGTTGAGCCATTGTTAGAGACAGTCCAAGACATCTGCTTACCCTCCCTGATAGTTACAGTCATAATAACCATAATAATGATAACTTGCTACCCCCTCATGTGGGCCACTTAGTGGGGACTGCGGCTCATTTGTGGCGGCTTTCATCTGCCCCCAGTGGGACTGTTAGGGTGCCGACTCCTTTCTGTTCAAAGATTCCAGACCGCTCATAGCATTCATAGTTCCCGTGACTGAAAGCGGAATAGCCTAGCTTCAGTAGTCTATGCTCTGGTAACCGCCAGATTACATTACATTACAATGTGCTATATGTGGCTCCAGAAACTGCAGCTGGTGCACAACACAGCAGTCAAACTGTTAATGGCGTCTGGCTTGCCCCAACTGCATTGCCTGCCTATGCTTTTCTGAGGGCCTCATTTGCAAAGTGCTGGTTTCCCCCCACAAGCTGACCCCAAATAATACTGCTCTGAGTAATTTAGGGGTTAAGAAAACAACAACTTAAATAATAATAATAATAATAATAATAATAATAATAATAATAATAATTTATTATTTATACCCCGCCCATCTGGCTGGGCTTCCCCCAGCCACTCTGGGCGGCTTCCAAAAGAATATTAAAATACTATAATACATCAAACATTAAAAGCTTTAAAAAATGGCCACCAGCAGCTGCAAAATAGAGTTTTACAAAATGGAAGCTGCTCTGGTTAGCACTGTGTCAGATAAGATCTGGCATCCACCCCACCTCAAAAAAGTGGGCATGGCCAGAACCCAAGGAGGGCTCTTTACTGTTCTCTTTTCTCCCTCTCCCCACCAAACCCCCTTCCTCCCTGCCCAGCAGACTGCTGGAACCAAAACTTGATTGATCTTGCCAGCAGTCTGAACTGATCACTTGCAGGCAGCTTTCAGCATTAGACCTAGGGCTTGGGCTTTTCAGCCAGAACTCACCAGAACTCAGTCTTGGCGCCATTATAAGAGAACAAGAGAGGCGTTTATGTTGAGTTCTGGCACCTCTTTTTCTAGAAAAATAGCACTGCCTATCGCCATAGGTTGCCACCCCATGGTGGATTAGGACTCCCTGCCCCATCATTTCTACCCATAGCTTGGTATACTATTGTACCTTAGCGTTCTGACAGGCTGGATTTGCCTGGCAGAAAGACCCTTCTGTACATATGTGCCAAATTCAATGTCCCTTTGGGATCTTGTTTTCAAGAGACCATGCTATGTAAATGCAAGGAAGTGACTCTAATCCTGTCACTTCCTTTTTGCAGCTCGTTTTAAATGCATTGCAAATTTGCTTTTCACTTCAGCTAGCCTCATTTATGTTTTCAACTGTTTGCATAACTGCAGTTAAAAAATACCACAGTCCTTCCTTCTCTTCCCTCGCTCACCTCTGTGCCAACAAAAGCTTCAATAGCTTGATTATCAAATCTGCATGCAAGGTTAAAAACATGGATGTTTGCTTTCAAGAGGTGTTTTTCATCTGTGACACAGCACTTCACACAGCGCTTTAAAATGGCATGTTTTCTCATTTGCATTCTTCTTTCAAACTGCTCAATAAATTGCAAGCTCCCTAAATTCACTGAAGGTTCAGATTAGGAGGGTTACAGTTGACATTATACTTCTCACGCTGTAAGATGTGGAACTAATACTTACGATCGGCAACACTATATTTAGGAAGTAACAGACATACCTAATTATATAACATTTAAGAGTCTTTTCAGTCTTTATTTTCTAAGAGAAAATTAGGTACATATTTCAGATTTCAGGGACAGCCAGCTTCTGTATTCTTGATGGCTACTATTTTCTTCATCTGGTTGGGCCCTGTGAGAATAGGGTGCCAGAATAGATGAGCCTTTGGTTCTCCTTATGCTCAGATACCAGTCTGGAAGTTGGCATTGTCTACCCCTATTTCTTTAAAAAAAATCAAAAATAAAAAATCAAAGCATTTCCCAAAAATTATAAATCAGTAAAAACCCTGGACCTGTTTAGGACTTCCGGGGTGGCGCCATCGGCAATGGCGGACTCCCTCTGATCTGGAGGGACTAGCTCCGCGCGAAACGGGTCTTCTCCGCTACGGCGAAGCGGGGACCCTTTCAAAAATCACAGCCGGATGACGCCTCTGACCATCGGACTCGGCGGGCACCCTTAGCGCCCCCAACCCGCAAAGGAACCCACTAACGGGCTCCAGGCGAAGAGGGGAAGTGGCGCGGTGCTGAGAGTCAACTGCTATTTCCGTGGAGCGAAGCCGCATAGCTGTTGCCGGAGAGCGCTGCCTTTTTCCTGGGACAATTTGGCTTCTAAAATAATCACCCGTGAGTACTTAAATTTCGGACAATTGGACTTTAAATAAGGACTTGCGAGCAGAAAGGAATTGGACTTAAAAATTTACTTCAATTTGGCACTGAAACGGGAAGGTCTAAACAGGAAGTCAGCCTTCCGTTTCTTTGTAGACAGAATAAAGCAAAGACAACGTAAACTAGAGCTCAGAAAATAGCTTCTAAAAGATTAACTTTCATCATTTTAAAATTGTTGAACCCCCCTTCGGAAGCAGGAGAAGAAGGGGATCTTTTCGGACTGTTTAAACCTGCAGAAGTGAGTTTAAAGTAAAGTAACTTTCCACCGTCCTGATCCTGGAGCGGGGTGTCAGGACTGACGTTTGAAGCTCATTGACCAGAGACAAACGTTTTTGACAGATAGCTAAAAGAAGAGAAACATAGTGATTCCACTGTTCCCTTTCGCATTTTAAAGGAACAAATATTGACAAAATATCTCAAAAAGGAAACTTTGTTGCTAGATTTGTACTTAAAAGAAAGAACAAATAGAAGTTTTCCCCCTAGAGGGAGACTGTGAAACTGTAACTAATTCCAGGGAGCTTGCAGCTGTTACAGATTACAATCGTGGGAATAGACCTGTGACCTTGTAGGACAATGTATTCAGAAGCTCTGTGGTGTGCTCTCTGTAAAACAAATGCCCTACTGGAACAGTTAAATGAGAAGACGGATTTGATGACTAATGCGGTCAGAATTTTGAACAGGCAGTGAGAAACTATATGGAGCCCACCCAGGAATCAAATCAGAGTGTGCCCTGACAGAACAGATGAGAGAAGAGGATGTTGCTGAATTTTGGGCGCCAGAGATGGAGGGAGCTGTGGCCCTGCAGGAACATGAGCTTTTGGACTTGACAAATGAACTTGGAAAAGCCAGATTTGGAAAGATAAAGTTTGGACTGGTTTGGAAATGGGGGGTTGGATAGACCCCCTATGCAGGGATGTTTGGACTTTCCAAGTCTGGCAATGGGCCGTGAGATGTTTGGGGCTGTGGGGCTCTTAATTTTGGAGGGATTCTGAAACATGTTTTCAAATACCACATGGAGTTTAGTCTGGTCTTTGGAAAAGGGGCTGATTTGTTGAAAAGGGTCAAAAACATTACCAAGCTGGAGTTCCCACAAGTGAAAGGAGAATATGAAGAAGGGACATGGAAGAGACTTAAGGGCCTCGGATATAAGGTTACCAGGTTAATGCACTAGATCAATGGGATAAAAAGGACTGACAAAACCCGGGACCAGGAGGAAAGGACGCTGGATGAAGATTGGATTGTTTTTATTTCTTTTTTATTATTAGGATTGTTTTATAAAATTGATGAATGTTAGAAAAATGTTGGAACGAAATTACTTGGCTCTAGCAAAAATGTTTAAAGAATTAGGTAAGAATATTATGGTTATGAGAAGTTGGTAAAAATAAGATTTAAGTTTTAAGTTTTAAGGTTTTCTATAAGATAAGATGAAAATAGATTAAGGTAATGTAATGACAGAATATTATGAAATATGGAAAGGATTTGCTGCGATAATTAATAACTAGGATGCTTACAAAGGGAGGAGGAGGAGGTAAAAGAGAGAAGGTAATGAAAGTTGAGGATTCGAGAATGATGGATTTGTTTTTATCTGTTTGTGGTGTATTTTTGTTTTTTGAATCTGCATTGTTTGATGTGGTTTGTTTTCTCTTTGTTTTCTCTTTTTTCTTTTTCTGCTGTGTTTTTTTCTGTAATTTAAAAAAATTTCAATAAATATCATTTAAAAAAAAGGGATTTGTAAATTAATACAGGGAACTTGAACCAGGCTCAGTAGTAGATGGGGATGTTTTAACAGTTTTGTCCCATGTTGGTGGCTTTGTGTTCCCCATCAGCAGTCTAGCCACCACATTCTGCCCCATCTGGATATTCTGGGCCAGGTCCAAGGGAAACCCTACATGGAGTTCACTGCAGTAATCCACCCTCAAGGTTACCAGTGTATCATCTACAGTGGTCAGGCTATCTCAGTCCAAGAATGTTCATATTTGGTGAACCAGGCAAAGCAGGTAAAAGGCTCACCTACCCAAAGAGGATACGTGGGCCTGTTGTGACAATGTTGTGTTCAAGAGTACCCTAGAGCTGTGTATCTGCTGCTGCAGCCGGAGTGTGACTCTGTCCAGAATGGGCATTTTTCAGACATGAGAACAACCTACCCCAAGAGTCTGCATCTTTTCTGGATTCAAGCACAGTTTCTTGGCCCTCCTCAGATCCACCACTGCATTTAGAAATCAGTCTAGAGCTTTAACAATCTCTCCTGATTCAGATATTATGGAGAAACAGAGCTGTGTGTTTTCTGTTGGAAATGACTTCGGAAGAACAGTATGGACCAGTATGTGTGGTTCCTATGAATTTATTATTGGGGGAGAACTGAAAAGCTAGAGATGGCATGCAATGGGATGGGATGGACCTGTGACTGAGTGCCACTAAGACTTTAAAAAGGCAGTTTTTCTTCAAATCACATTACTGTATAGTATGTCCCTACAATTGATGGGGGAGAAATTCTTTGGTTGGCTTTCCTCAGTGGGCTAACTTGAACCAACCCTCTTGAATTTGCTTGTAGATCAGAAGTCAGATTGCACATTTATCTGAATTTTGTAATGAAGTTTTGGCATGTAGAAAGTCCACAAAGATGCATATTACATTAAAAGTGTATACCAACTGTGTACAACTTAAATACTTTTTGTGCATACTTTCAAAACATTTGAAGTAGGCTGCTCAGTCCACCCATAGCTCTTGCCTACAAGAATATTCCTTGTACACAGACAACAATGTTAGGGAGAAAGGATGCAGCCTAGCATTCTTCTTGAGCTGCTAATATTCTGTGTCAATATTTTGTCTTATTTTCATTTCCATGGAAATGTGTGAAACACCTATGTTCCTCTCAGTGAAGCACATTTCTATTTACTGAGGTTGGAAAGGGAATAAATAAGTATTAATTGATTGAAAACCAATATATAGTCATGGAAGTACATAACTGAAAGGTAAAGTTAAAGGTAAAGGACACATGACAGTTAAGTCCAGTCACGAACGAATTTGGGGTTGCGGCATTCATCTCGCTTTACTGGCCAAGGGAGCTGATGTTTGTCCGCAGACAGTTTTTCCGGGCCATGTGGCCAGCATGACTAAGCCGCTTCTGGTGAAACCAAAGCAGCACACGGAAACACCATTACCTTCCCACCGGAGTGGTACCTATTTATCTACTTGCACTTTGACGTGCTTTCGAACTGCTAGGTAACCGAAAGGTACCTTAGTGTTATTTGCTCCAAACATCAGCTCCCTACTCATGGATGGAAACTTAAGAAACTTTTGCAAATAAGAACCAATCTATAAAAATTATAAGAGAATGGCATGTAGTTGGAGGAGAGGGAAGATTGTTCCATCTTGTGCTGATGGAACAATCTCCTTAGCACCACATTGAATTCCATCCCACATAGCCATAACTATAAAGTTCAGTTAGTTTTAAAGGTTTACTCTTTTTTTAAAAAAAAATAAATAATATTTATTATTTTTCCAAAAACACTAATAAAAAGGCGAAAAAAAGAAAAAGAAAAACAATACAATACAACACAATACATCAAATTAACAAAACAAGACAAAGACAATAAAATAAATCAATTTCATTATCCCATCTTTCCTTCACTTGTTTCCACGACCTCCTCACACCTCCCTTTTTGTATTCCACTTCTGTTAATTATTTCAGCAATTCCTTTCCATCTTCCTCTGTTTTCTATCCTATAATTATCTTAGCTCATTCTAATCTTATTTTTTCCCTTTAATACTCTATTAACCTATCTGTACTTAATTCCTTATAATATTTCTACTAAAGCCATATAACTTCATTTCAACATTTTTCTAACATTCATTAATTTTACAATATTTCTGTAGATAGTCTTTAAACTTTTTCCAATCTTCTTCCACCAACTCCTCTCCCTGGTCTCGGATTCTGCCAGTCATTTCCGCCAGTTCCATGTAGTCCATCAACTTCATCTGCCATTCTTCCCGGGTGGGCAAATCTTGTGTCTTCCAATACTTCGCAATAAGTATTCTTGCTGCTGTTGTTGCGTACATAAAAAAAGTTCTATCCTTCTTTGGCACCAATTGCCGACTATGCCCAGGAGAAAGGCCTCTGGTTTCTTCAAGAAGGTATATTTAAATACCTTTTTCATTTCATGATAAATCATCTCCCAGAATGTCTTAATCCTTGGGCACGTCCACCAAAGGTGAAAGAATGTGCCTTCAATCTCATTACATTTCCAACATTTATTGTCAGGCAAATGGTAAATTTTTGCAAGCTTGACTGGTGTCATGTACCACCTATAAATCATTTTCATCTTAAGGCATTACATGCCGTAAATTTCAAGCCTGTAGTCCATAACTGTTCCCAGTCAACCATCATTATATTATGTCCAACATCTTGTGCCCATTTAATCATAGCCAATTTCACCGTTTCATCCTGAGTGTTCCATTTCAACAGGAAGTTATACATTTTTGACAAATTCTTGATTTTGGAATCTAACAATTCTGTTTCCAATTTTGATTTTTCCACTTGGAAACCAACTTGGAAACCAACTTTTTTGTCCAAATTATATGCCTCCATTATTTGATAATAATGGAGCCAATCTCGCACTTTATTTTTCAAAGCTCTGCAATTTTAGTCTGTCTCCCTCTTGTTCCAGAATTTCCCAATATTTCGGCCATTTGGCCTCCCTATTGAGTTTTTTCTGTGCCTTCGCTTCCATTGGTGACAACCATCTTGGGGTTTTCTTTTCTAACAAATCTTTATATCTTATCCATACATTAAGCAGTGCTTTTCTGACAATATGATTTTTAAACGCTTTATGTGCTTTTACCTTATCGTACCACAAATATGCATGCCAACCAAATACATTATTAAAACCTTCTAAATCCAACACATCAGTGTTTTCAAGTAGCAGCCATTCTCTCAGCCAACAAAAAGCAGCTGATTCATAATAGAGTTTTAGGTCTGGCAGGGCAAATCCACCTCTTTCTTTAGCATCAGTTAATATCTTAAATTTTATTCGAGGCTTCTTGCCCTGCCAAACAAATCTGGAAATATCTTTCTGCCACTTCTTGAAACAATCCATCTTATCCAGAATTTGTAATGTTTGGAACAAGAACAACATCCTTGGCAGCACATTCATTTTTATCACAGCAATTCGGCCCAACAATGATAACTTCAAATTTGACCATATTTCTAAGTCTTTTTTCACTTCAATCCAACATTTTTCATAATTATCCTTAAATAAATTTACATTTTTTTGCTGTCATATTAACCCCTAAATATTTCACTTTCTTAACCAATGTTAGTCCTGTCTCTTCCTGAAATTTCTCTCTCTCATTTGCAGTTAAATTTTTCTCTAAAACCTTAGTTTTCATCTTACTCAGCTTAAAACCTGCTACTTGCCCAAATTCTTGAATCAGTTCCAATACCCCTTTTGTGCTAGATTCTGGTTCCTGTAGGGTCAATACTAGATCATCAGCAAATGCTTTCAATTTATACTGTTTAACTCCTACTTGTATACCTTTGATCTCTTGGTTCTTTCTTAACATGTTTAACAAAACCTCAAGAACCAATATAAAAAGCAGTGGAGAAATTGGGCAACCTTGTCGTGTCCCTTTCTCAATCTTAAACTCTTCTGTCACTACATTATTCACAATTAATTTTGCCTTTTGTTCTGAATAAATTGCACCTATACCATTTTCAAAACCTTAGCCTACCCCCATCCCCTGTAGGTTCTTCTTCATAAATGTTGTCAAATGCTTTCTCCGTGTCCACAAATATCAAGACAGCCTTGGTATTAATATTCACTTGAAGTTTTTCCAAAATATTAATTATGTTCCTCGTATTATCAGACAAATGTCTGCCCGGGTGAAAGCCCGCTTGATCTTTATGAATTTCTTCTACTAACACCTTTTTAAATCTTCTGGCCAAAATGTCTGCAAAAATTTTATAATCCACATTTAGCAGCGATATGGGGCGGTCGTTTTTGAGCTGTGTCTTTTCAGTCTCTGTTTTCGGTATAAGTGTAATGTAAGCTTCCTTCCACGACTCTGGTGCCTTTCTTCCTTCCAATATTTCATTACAGACTTCCTTCAATGGTTGTATTAGCCAATCTTTCAAAGATCTGTAATAGAAAGGTTTACTCTTAATATGATGATAAACTGGCTCCAACTCTCTGTTACATTCAGTTGAGCCACAAATGCAGCTTCCTGGCCCAATATCTAATGGACAAAGGTTGAACCTCTGTACCATCTGAGGACCAGAATTTTAATCCCCCCTCCCCGCAAATCTCTTTCTAGCCTAATCCCTCATGGTGTCATGCACGGTTTCATGAAGATGGAAGAAGGGGCGAATGAAATTTCATTTCAGCACTGAGCAGAGGGTATACATGATGGAACAGGCAGGATCAGTGTTGTTGCAGCATTTGCTGGTGCCTGGGCATGCACCTGCATGGGGGCGCCTGGTTCATGATCCCTCAAAATCATGCTCCTAAGGCTATGGCCTCCCTGCTCCATGACCCCTCATGCTACAGCCCTGGGCAGGATTAGTGGCTATGGGGATTTGTCACTTTTGAGAGACATAAGAACATTAGAGGAGAGTTTTTCACTTCCAGCAAAGTTATAATAGGGAACACCCATCTGTGTTTCATATCACTGTCTCAAGCAACGGCCACTACCACCTACTGTAACTGGTGGCAGTTTTGCCATTCAGGAAGGAGTATTTTCCAGCTGTGCTATATGCAGTCTTTTAATTGGAAGTCTGCTAGAGAGTGAACCTGGAACTTTATGCAGGCAAAGCACATGATTTGTTGCTGAACTGCGGTTCATTTCCTATTCTATACATCACCATTAGCTACCATTTCTATTACAGCTGACATGTAGTGCCTTTCCTCCACCAACTATCAAAGTGTTTCGCAGATGAAGGCAGCAATCCTCTCTTAAACAAACTAGGAAACAGGACCAACCAAGATCACACTGCTGATTCTATGACAGTGTGAGGGGTTGAAATTGGCTGTGAGGCCAGTCTCCTCTGTGTTTGGACCATGCTATTTCCATTGATTTCTTTAGGACAGCCAGCCTTGGGAGGTAGGAGTGGAAAATTGCTAGTGAGTGGCTAGGTAATTGCATTTGACAGTTGATTTTCTCCATGAAACTGTGAATAATTGGAAAATTTGCACAAAAGCTTATTTTTAAATGCTATCATTATTCATTAATTTATTTAACTACATGCCTCAAAAGTGCTTTTCAGTAATTGCTCTAACAACAAGCACAAATATAATCAGCCAGGAGACAATAAGCACTTTCACAATAATAGCACAATTAAGCCTTTTACTGTACCAAAATGCCAAGCTGATCTAGTAGCCAGAGCAAATTCGCTGCACTTGGACAGGGTATTGGGTCGCTTGCCATGTGGAGCAAAAGCATTTTCAAAGTGCACTCGGCGATTCTGACCAAAAGTGAAAGGACAAATCATGCACAGATTCCAGCTCTGAACATGGGCCTTTAAACATGTAAGGAAATTGAAAATAAGCACAGATGAGGAAGGAGGAGCAAGAAAGTGGAACCTTTTCTTGAATTTGCTCCTCAAAGTAACAACTTTATGGCTTCTTCAGCAACACTCCCGCACCAGTGAAATCTGGCTAGAAGGGGCTTGACCCCTATTGCACAAGGTTCAAGAGGGTGGTAAATTGGTGAAATATTTTCAGCAGGGAGCCGGTCCACTGTCCCTCAGACCTTGTGGGGGGGCAGACTATATTTTGAAGGGGGGGAATGAACAAATTCCTATGCCCCACAAATAACCCAGAGATGCATTTTAAATAAAAGCACACATTCTCATGTAAAAACACCAGGCAGGCCCCACAAATAACCCAGAGATACATTCTAAATAAAAGGACACATTCTACTCATGTAAAAACATGTTGATTGCCAGACCGTCTGTGGGCCAGATTTAGAAGGTGATTGGGCCGGATCCAGCCCCGGGCCTTAGTTTGCCTACCCATGGGTTAAATGGCCTTGTGCAGCCCCATCAATGGGCAGCCAGCATTTGCACCAGCAGGGACAGCTCACCCATGAAGCAAGGTTAGGCAGCTGCCTTGGGTGGCAGGATTCACAGGAGCAGAAAATCCAGCCTCCAAGGAATGCATCACCCACTGTCAGTGTTGCCACTTCTACTGCAATAATGCTAGAAAAAGGCAACCTGTGCAAAACGCCAGCACCCTGTCTCTACAACTCTACTAGCATCTCTCAGTATTGTGAATATCACCGAACTTACCTTTTGTTGGTATCTTCATGAACTTATCTAAAAGACCGAGTTAAGTATTTGAAAAATCTATTGAAACCAGACATTATAAGTTCATTTTAGGCTGGGTAGTTCGCAAGTCTTTGTGGCTTTGTTTAATGTTTTGTATTTTTCTCAGAAGGTTGATAAAGTATGTATAATTATGAGTTGCACTACTTCTACTGCAATGGCAGCAACAGGAGTGTCCTCCTTAGAGGCCAGATCTGCCATCACCTCAATGCAGCCTCGACAGTGGCCTCTTGGGGAATAGGAGGCTCTGCGGTCTCCTCCCACACTTGCTGCCAATATAGATCTTTATCCCGCCGCCCCCCGCCCATTTCCTGGAAGGGGGAAGGCACCATTTTGTGGTTTGCCTCAGGTGCCAAAAGGTCTGGCACTGAGCACAAGTGCTTAAAGGGGCCAGTCCTTCTCCTGGGTCTTGGCAGGAGTCAACTGACTTGGCTCACTTCACTTTCAGGCAGTGCAATATCAGCAGGCAGGGCCAAGCAAGTAGTAACTCTTTTTTTTAGTTTAACATTTCCATAGTGGCCAAGGGATGGGACAGGACCCCTTTTCTGCCTTCTAGGGGACAGCTGTTGGACAGGAGGAGCTAGAAACAGGTAGAGACATCACATAGTAGTAATGCTCAACCTGGAGTAGTCAGTCTGTCACTCTCCCAAATTCAGAATGGCAGTTCAGGGAATCCTGGCAATGAAAAGTTAACTCCAGTGGCTAGAGGACAGGTGCAGAGGCAAGATGGATGCAGCTCATGGCTTACTTTCCACAGTGTGTTTGACAATTTCCCAAGATCTGCAGTCCAAGGTAGTGTAACTGTTGCTTCAGTCCAGCAAGTAGCCATACACGTGGATTTTGTCCACATATTACCTAGGGAAACGTGGGTGGCACTGTGGTCTAAACCACTGAGCCTCTTGAATTTGCTAATCAGAAGGTTAGCAGTTCAAATCCCAGCAGGGTGAGCTCCCATTGCTCAGTCCCAGTTCCTGCCAATCTAGCAGTTCGAAAGCACACCAGTGCAAGTAGGTAAATAGGTTCCGCTGCGACGGGAAGGTAAACGGTGTTTCTGTGCACTCTGGTTTCCATCACAGAGTTCCATTGTGGCAGAAGCGGTTTAGTCATGCTGACCACTTGAGCTGGAAAGCTGTCTGTGGACAAACACCAGCTCCCTCAGCCTAAAAGTGAGATGAGCTCTGCAACCCCATAGTCACTTTTGACTGGACTTAACCATCCAGGAGACCTTTACCTTTACTTTTTACCTTTACCTTTATTACCTAGCTAGAAATCCCATAGGAGACACAAGGTTCCCCCAAGCAAGGACAGTGTCTACACATGGCATTTCTTAAAAGCTAAAAGCACACTATGAAGAGGAACCAGGGGGCAGTCTCTTTTGCTTTCCTTCCAGTTCCTACCCTGTGCTGCCTGGGAATTTTTAGAAATCAAAAAATATTTTGATTTTTAAATGGATAGGATAATTTGTGAGTTGGGACCTATCACAAAAACATGACAGAAGTCACACCAATGTCACATTTTGGTCTGCCACCTTGGTTCAAAATGGCACCTGGCATCCAAACATCAACAAAAGCTGCTGCCCGCAGTTCGGGAACTCTTGTGCTGAGTTTGGCAATGATATCTCAAGCGGCAGCTGAACCTATGCCAAAAAATAGGTGAAGTTATGCCCAAGTCACATTTGGGTGCACCATCTGGACTCAAAATGGTGGCCTGTGGCCCAGCGTTGACGATGACCACCATCCCCACCTCAGGAACCCTCATGCCGAGTGTGCTGACAGTATGTCGAGAGGCAGCCCAACAGACAAGTGGACATACAGACAAGCCACCTTTTAAAATATGTCCTAGATGAAGGATTCTGCTGGTAGTTCTAGTTGTCCCAGCCACATGGTCAGGGCCGGATTTAGGTTTGATGAGGCCCTAAGCTACTGAAGGTAATGGGGCCCTTTATATGTCCAACTGCCCTTTGTCAACAAAATATGTATTTTATCAAAGTAATTGTTGAACTGAAATACAATTAAGAAGTATATTAATAGTGAAATACAACTAAGAAGAAGTATATTTTTTGGGAGGGCCCAAGAGAGTGGGGCGCTAAGCTTGTTTAGCTTATACGTAAATCCAGTACTGCGCATGGTGCTAGATTGGAGCCAGGCATTGTGAACCTATTGTGAGTCAGTATGCATGGCTGGTAGTTTATGCTATGGGTTTTTGGGGGGGTTTTTAGCTCTTGGTTGTTTAAAAATCTAAGAGACTTGTGTACTTTTTTGGGGAAAAGTTATTTTAAAAACAATTATTAATAAAGTATTATTTTACATTCCTCCTGGTGTTTGTGTGCAGGGTGCAGGTTCAGTTTTGAAAAGTTCTATTGAAAGTGTGAAATATTTTCCTTTTCCTCCCTGCTACCTCTGTATTTCACGGTTACCTTGTACCCCTCCTCCACCACCCTCTTTTAATAAATCCAGCTTTTGTTTTCTGAGAAGCCTTCAGCAGTGCAGAATTTTAATTCACGCTGAATAGCATAATGATAGACCTTTACCTGTTTAGACTTCTATTTATTTGAAAGACAACCCATTTCATCTCAGTTACATAAAATGGTTTAAAATGCCATATCTGTAAAGTTTCTTTTAGGCAGTTGATTTTTATCCATGAGAAGTCTTGGAACTAACGGTTTTATGAGTCATAAAATTATTATTATTGCAGAGGGCCTTCTTGGTAGTGGCACCCGCCCTATAAACCCCCCTCCCATCAGATGTCAAGGAAATAAACTTTTAGAAGACATCTGAAGGCAACCTTGTATTGGGGAAAATTTAAAAGTCTAATGTTTTACAATTTTTTATGTGCTGTAAACTGCCCAGAGTGGCTGGGGAAACCCAGCCAGATGGGCGGGATATAAATAATAAAATTATTATTATTATTTGCCCTGTGCCTGGGCATCAAGTGACAAAACAGATTAGATGGATTGAGCTGAGGGCCACATCTTTATTTAGTGATATTCATTGATTTTCAGAATACTTGACTAAAGATCTGCCAAATATCTCACCAACCTAACTGACTTGCAAAGAGAGAAAAAGGAAATAGGGTGTCCTGCACAACTCACCTTGTTTGACAATCCTGTCTTAGCTTACATCATTCTAGCTGTAATTGTCCCACTCTTTGCTTTTCATAGTCTATGCACTCTCAGAAAGAGGCTGCAGAGATTCTGCCAGGGTCCCCATTTTCCACTGACTAGTGGGACCACCGGGCCAAAGCCTGCTCCCTCTTCCAGATCCCTTCAAGCTATTAAGTCTTGAGCAGTTCATTAAAAGAGGGGTGGGAAGCCTGTATTGGACTCCAACTCTCAATATCCCTGAACACTGTCCATGCTATCTGGGGCCTATGGGAGTCAGAATCCATGTGGATTCCAACTCTCATAGGTCCCAGATACCACGGACAGTGTTCCTGGTAGAGCAGCCAATTGCTAAAGAGAAAAGTCTATGTGACTTCATGCCTCACTTGGCTTGGAGTTGCTTTTTGTAGTACAGTCTGCCACACTATAAAGGGGGGAAATATGCTCAGTTGATGTCATGGTGATGTCAGGTGATTGGCAGGTGGATGGGGCCCCGCCCAGCTGTCAAAATAATCTACTGATATACAAAGGGGAGGATTCAGAATGCAAAATTTGCATTTTTGAGACAAGCTGTTTTGTTTTTCGTCAATAGCTATGCAAATGTCACCAGAACTGAAAAGGTTTCTCTGTCTCAGTTTAAATAAAGCATTAATATTTTCCTCATAAAATAATTAGCTGTCATAATGCTGATTAGAACCAGGAGCTGAAACTTTTGCAAACAATAAAGTGTATATATTCTGTGGCAAACTCTGGCAAATAACAGTGTGCATGCACATAATATGTGTATATATTCTGACAATGCATCAGTATAACTCTATTTTAGTTTTCCCCTGCCTCCAAATTCCTCCAATATAATTTCCCAGTTAAATAATTACACAGCTTCTCAAAAATGCAGTCCTTGCTATACAGAAACTGTGCTATACTGAACACGTGCTGAACCTCATTAATCCTCAAATCAACTTTTCCACACAAGCACACCTGACCCACCAAGCTCTGCTGGAGCTCTGCTGTTGACCTTCAGATTCCGCAAGGCTCCACATCCTATCTATGGGGTTTCATTTTATTTTTCCACAAATTTGTCCTCCGTTCCCAAACTTCCACAAGCTGCCACGTCTGCAAATTATGTTCGTTCCAATAGCAATGAAGGATAGCATCCTTATGACATTGCTTTGTGCAGAATCAGATCATTGGTCTATCAATCCCTAGCATTCTTTATTTCAAATGACAGCAGGGGCTCTCTTAAGTTCTCAGATAGAGGAGTTTTCCCAGTCCTGGTAACTGTTCTCTAACTGGATATGAAATGATTTAACCTCGGACCTTTGATTCATATAAAGTCCCAGGCTAAATCCTTTAACACGTTTCTGCGCTTCCAATTTCCCACCTAGCTGATATTGCACAGACAGCAAAAGCGGACCTACATTTCTCTCTTAGTATTGCAGGAACAACTTCCTCCCTCCTGAAGAAGGTAGTGTGACAACCTTGTTGTCTTTTAAGGGTTGGCATATGATGTGATAGGCCCGTTCAAGGCAGCTGAATGGGTCTCGTGTGAAACAGACAATGGAAGGTGGTGCCATCTTCTGCTTCTTCCCATTCAGCCAAATTTGTCATCTGCACTCGCTCCTGTCCCTGGGGAACTGGGGAATGGAGTCTCATCACCTGCCTTTGGGTCTACTCTGAACTCTAAGCATGTAGATATATGTTTCACCAAATTAGATTCTCACTGCAATGCAATTCAGGGCAGATGGCAAGGGAGGAGAGATGTAGGGCACACCAGTAAGCGCCCCACAGCAATGGAGTCGAGAAGCAAGGCTTACTATAATGCCTAGAAGCCACTGACTTTCAGTTGATGGCCTATGACTCCGAATCTGCTTCCGCTATGGATTAGCTGCACAACCACAGGGCAGCCCATCCCAGCAGGGTTGCTTTCACTGCCAGTCAGCTGATCAGTAGGGAAAGGAAGGCTCCCTTGCCTATACACAATTGGGAGCATCTTTGAAGGCTTCCATCTCTAACTGTCCCTCACATATGATGTCAGAGGTGTGGCAGGTGGGTGTGGCTTGGGGAGAAGTTCCCATTGTGCAATTATGTGACTTGACATGGTGATGTTTTGTGGACATATTGTGGTACAATCCCTGTGGAAAGGAGCCTCAGCAGAACATAAATTGGATCATTTGGAAAACCTAGACGTTGGGATAAAGTGATTGCGTGTTGAGACCCTGAAACCACCCCCTCGTTGATGAATAAGACACAAGGACACAGATATTAGGTTAAATGTTGTTGGGCAAATTTAGGCCACAACTTTAGTGGTTACAGAATGTGAGTGGTATTGGCTTAGGCATTGGACTGACCCGACTATATCTGATTCCTGCCCATCATGCAGGGAGTCCGGTAAGGATCAACCACCGGAAGGGGGAACCCCGTTGATGCAAACCAACTTGAGCTCCCCCTGGGTTCCTGACGGGGTCGTGGCATGGCTCTAGCCCTGCCCCAGGCGTCGGACAAGATCCACACCCCTGGATTCCTTTAACTGAATACCCTTAAGCTTGGAGGGGCAGGTGATGGCCACACCTCCCTTCCCCCATCATGAGATCAACCAATGCCTAACTGCCAAACCTTACAAAGTTGTGACGATTGCGTCAGTTTAAATGGGTCCTGGCCATGCCTCCCCAGCCAGCGGATTGGCTGGCCGGATGATGACGTGGCTAGGAACCTCCGGGTGACACGGAACTTCATCCCCCGCCCCCGGAAGGGAGTTGGTGGCCATGTGGTCCACAGCAACTCCTCACCACATTGAAGTGGAGCTGATTTCCTGCCACCTCCTCGCAAATGATTAAGTGGGCACAAGATGTTGGAAATGGAGACTTGGGGTACATTTTGGACTATGGCAAAACATGTTCTCCATACACATGCTTATGAGGGGAAACTAAAATAATGCTAAGTTGGTATGTAACTCCTGAAATCATAAGTAAAGGAAATGAGAATTGCCCAAAGACATGTCGGAAAGAAACAGGAGACTATATCACATATGGCAGAAGTGCAATGGGGTAAAGGAATATTAGGAAAAGATTGCAGATTTAATATTAAAAAATATTAGGTTATGAAATCCCGTATGATCCTCTGCTATTATTATTAAATTATACTGCTGAGTCAATGAGGAAAGAACACCAAGAACTATTTCCTTATATGGTTGCTATAGCAAGTATGCCAATAATAGCTAGTATTAATGAATGGACAGATGCAATTTGAGAATTTGATTTAATGTCTAAATTGACACATTTATCAAAGTCAAAAGAATGCAAAGTGTTTCTGTGGCAAACTGGATCCCAGTATAGTCTCAAAGATGTTCTCAAAGATGCAGTACAGCTTTGAGATGTCCTGAATCTTAAGGAACTGATTTTGCTTTGGTTTATCAGTCTTACATTGCTGTGCAACTTCCCTTAGGAGCATTGCATTTGGTTAATTTTATCTTTATTTTTTCTTGATTGTCACAATAATAAATAATGGTGAGTTCTTTAACAGAATGAAGCACCTTCAGAAATGTAGTTTGTTAAGGGTATGGAGTACAATTCCTACCATTGTTCTTTCCCAAGATTATTGGGGGGTGGGAACCATGATTGTGACAGTGGTGTAAATGACTTTGTGTGTGTGTGTGTGACAAAGTGACTGCAAACTCCAACCCCTTAAGGCCAGAGTGGTGGCTCATTTGTGCTGTGGCATAGTATTAGTAAGCCTCCCTGTAATGACCAAGAGGCATATTATGTAATCATTTGATGGTCTTGCAAGAAACCTAGAGAATAAATAAAACATATCTGTTGCAAATAGTCTTTCTCTGTGGGTTTGATCGTACTTAACTCTGTGCATTTACCATTTATGTACCTACCTCTCTGAAAAGTGCTGCTGCTGCTCAAGTATAAATATCACAAGTGTTCGGGGAGAAATAAATACCACAATTGTTCTCATTATATTGGGTGTGTCTTTTGAGACTTTCAGAGTCTTCTTAAGCATACTTTAGCAGAACAGCTTGTAAAATTCTGAAGGACCAGGAGGATGAACTGTGAATTGATGGGAACTGAACTAAATCCTTTCTGGAGGGGAGGAGCTGGAACTGGAACTAGCTTTCAAATGAACTTTCCAAGCTCAGGTTCACACAGTGGCCAACCCGATGTCTGTAGGAAGCTCACAAGCAGAACCCGAAGCACAACACTGCTCTCCCACCTGTAATTCCCTGCAAATAGCAGGTAGCTATTGTGGCTAGTAGCAGAATATGCTCACCTGATCCACCAGGTCTTATCCCTTGGCACAATCTAAGCCCACTCCCTGGATCTGGGAAGCGTACGGTGTTTTTAAGATCAAAATCTGGCACCTCCTGCTTTTGTGCCATGAGCAGACATTATCTCACAGTACTTACGTATACAGAGTCATATACATTGCTATTAATGCACCCTTAATCTCTCTTCCTGCCCCTTGTTTTCTTTGCTACAGTATTCAAAGGCAAACAGACATCCAGAGCCAGTGATGGAAAAAATGATGGAATCTAGCTTTTCAGGAACTCCTTCCTTTCCGGAAGCCTTGTCTCCTGACAGAGGTAGCCAGGCTATGAAGCCACACAGGTAAGGAAGCGACTCTTAATTGACATTTGTTTTGTGATACATATGCAGCACAGTCGTACACAGTGACTAGGGGGACATTTAAGAGTGTATGGCATGGAAGGAGCCTTGATCTGTTCATTAAGCAGATGTCCAGCGTGTCTTCCACTGCAGATGTAAAACAGCCATTACTTCTGCTCTCCGCGTTCCACATTCCTCTCTCTCTTTTTTTCTAAAAGGCCTAGAGGAAGTATTAAGGATGCCATCAAAGCTGTAGTCACAGACCAGTGAAGGAGGCAATTGTATTCTGAGAAACCATCAGAATAGAAGATTTCCCCCACTCTCCTGCCTCATTTCAGTTCATGAAGTTAATGACTCATCTTCTTGTAGGCAGACAGTGATGACAACGACCAGATTTTCTCAGTGCCCACCCACCAAACAAATAAAACTCAATATGAAAAATGGCTGCTTTATATATTCACCTGAGAGCGAACAATCACCCACCTAGTCTTGCATCCTTTTCTCACAGTGGCCAACTAGATGTCCCTCCCCCCATTGACAATTCCAGTTTTCTTCACTCCAATTCTGGGGTGGGGGTTGCTGGAAGGATCTCTCTGTGGTCCTTAGAACAGAGATAATAGATGACTCTATCTGATATGTTGTCAAGTGATTGACAGGTGAGCATTGTTTGCCAAGTGGCTTCGCAGGCCAAACTGAAAGATTTGGCACACCTCATTAGATCTGAGTATCAGAGGTTCCCCACTGCTGCTATAATTCTAGAGACAACACTTCATCCACCTGACCCCAGGAGAGGTGTGCTAGCCCAAACAAGGGAAGGTCAGAAAATCCAGATTCTCTCTGGCAGGGCAATACAAAAGTCAACGAATTTGGAATTCAGAACCATGGATAGTGCTCCTGTAAAGGTAAAGGGACCCCTGACAGTTAAGTCCAGTCACAAACAACTCTGGGGTTGCGGTGCTCATCTCACTTTACAGGCCGAGGGAGCCGGCATTTGCCTGCAGACAGTTTTTCCAGGTCATGTGGCCAGCATGACTAAGCCACTTCTGGTGAAACCAGAGCAGCACACAGAAATGCTGTTTACCTTCCTGCCGGAGTGGTACCAATTTATCTACTTGCACTATTGGAGGTGCTTTCAAACTGCTAGGTTGGCAGGAGCTGGGACTGAGCAACAGGAGCTCACCCCATTGCGGGGATTCGAACTGCCAACCTTTTGATCGGCAAGCCCTAGGCTCTGTGGTTTAGACTCACGTCCCATAGTGTTCCTGTACATGAGGTCAAACATCCCACTGTGTCAGCAAAGTCCTGGATCCATGACCTGAATTTTAGAGCAGAGTAAGGTAACCATTGTCTGCAGTCCCATCCCGGGTGTTGCCTTTTGGCCAGTTAAAGAACCAGTGCCTACTCCCGCAGCCTTTGGTTCTTTCAATGTGATGGAGTTTCCAGTTTTGCAGAGCCCTTTGGGTCCTGCAAGCAGTCTGTGGATCAGCCATCAGGTAGGCAGAGGTATCTCATCAGGGGAGGAGAGACTGGCCCTAGTGCTTGTGAAACCACACAGAATGGACCAAGGAGTGGATATACCTCCACACTTGTCACTGTAGTTGCTGGAGAACTCAGCATTCAATTTAAATATCCAAAATCCACAATGCATTTTCAGGGTAAGCACAAGGTGATCTGATGATTCTTTAAAATACTATTAAATGTATTGAAACTATTTAAAACAGAACTTCCCTTAATGCATCCTTTTTATAAATAAAATAATTCTATTTATATAAATATGACCATTATCATATTTAACTATAAATATGATAATGATCGTATTTATATAAAAAGAATTATTTTATTTATAAAAAGGATGCAGTAATGAAAGTCCTTTTTGCAAGTTTTGGTGTTTTAAATATGTGCCTTTGCAGATTCATGGGCCTGATTTGATTTATAGGTGATTGCTTTTGTCATTTTATAATTTACTATTTAATACACCAGACCATTGTTTTTTAGAACAGGCAATAGACTTCTAAATGTCAGTGAGTTATAAGCCTAGCATTGATTGTACGCATTGTGCAGTTGCTTTATAAGTTATTTTATGCTACAAATACTGTACAAGAGACAGATTAGTCATCTGGGGTTTTTCACTTGATTCTTCTCAGCAGACAGATATAGCATGATAACAGTAAATACATCATGATAAACTCTTGCTCGTGCATTTTTTTTTTTTTAGATCAGTCTAGGAAATGCAGGTGCCTGTGTAAAAGTCACCACCAAATTGATTCTACCTAAAGCAAAATTCAGGGCAAATTCAAAGTCCCGCTCAAGCAAAATGTCAATTTGAGTTTTGAGGGAAGGTTAAAGAATTTCAATAAGACTTGACGGTGTTTATCATGGAAGGCATTATATTCCTTAAGGCATGAGAAGGGAACTTCTTTTCTGTGAAAGGTCATTGACCTGCAGGAAAAGTCAATTGGGAAATTATGAAGAATATCACTTATCACTAAAGCTAACTTACAACAAGATTTATAAATGTTTCAGGCTCCCAGCAGAAGTAGAGCCATTTGCAAATTACAGAGTAACAAATCTAGACTTGCCATCTAGCATGTGCCCTGCTGGAAGCCCCAGCCAATTTTGGTTTTCAGGTGAATGTACATGTGAGATACATACATTTACCACATTCACAAGTTACATATTTAGGTGCATACTTAAAACATTATTTAGAGCTATTCAAACAGAAGAGTCTAACCACAAGTCATATTGGGTGAGATCTATACAAGACCCATTGACTTTATTTGAACATTAACATGGTCATCCCATTGATATCAGTGGTTCTCTCTAAGCATAACTATGCTTGGATCCAACCAATTATATTTACTCCTGGAATTTGTGAGACATTCACCAAGGCTTGGGTCTCACAACTATAGAGTTTCTGTGCACAGTTTCACTAGACATATCCACCCCTCTCCTCCTTTATAATTCCACTGATGTTTTGTCCATTCAAGAACTTCTGTATACACCTTTGAAATTCATTTTAGCTGAAAATTGCTGGAGTAATCTAGTGTATCCTGACTCATATCCACATTCACAGATTCTCTGAAAAAGATGCTGGACATCCCATGCCAGCAAAGTCTTTATTCTGAAAAGCAATCCAAACAGGAGCTTAAATTTAAAAATATAAGAGTGCATGGCTGCACTCTTTTCACATACTTGAAACAATTGTGGACTTACTCTGACATAAATATTGTTAGTACTGAGGTATAAATTCTCGATTCCAGTGTTGTCGCTTAATTTCTTCTGCTATGTTTTCTTTATTTTCTTAACTATCTTCTTTTTCCCACTGGTTCTTAAGAAGCATTGTGGTGAACCTACCAGGAACTCTTGAAATCAATTGAACTTAAGCATTTCGCCACATGCATTCAATCCTGTTCTTTCCAGTGAGTATTAAGAAAGCTTAGCTTCCTCTGGATAGCACCCAGTGAAGCTTAATAGAGAGGATGTTTGACACATGCAAGTCCCATTAAAATCAGTGGGATTTAATCACATAGTTAAACAGTTGAGTCTCGTTTATTTCAATTAGGGAGGTGCAAAATCAGTCCCTTAATTTCCACTGCCTTTTCCGCTTGAATAAATACCAAATATCTCAGATATCTTTGCTTTTCTGAGCATTCTCTGCGTTGGTCAAGTACTTGGTTTCCCACCCCAAAATGTCGCACAAACTGGTGCGCATTATAGCACAAAATGTGCTTAAGTGTTGAAATGGGCACACCCGTTTCCTTTCTCTTTTTCTACCTTGCCTCAGAGTACAAGCACAAGTGCAGTAAGTTGGATTTGCAGACCCATAAACATGGATTTATCCTGCAAAATGTCAGCTAAGATTATTAGATAAATAGATAGTTAGATTTGCTTGTTTCTCTCGCATCCACATCTCCCATATACCTACTAATCTTGCTTTAAATCCAAAATTGAAGCTTAGTTACTTGTGACTAGTTGCTTAGATGTGAATCCGAATTCTCATTGGAATTCTCAGCCCATGTTCCAGGGAGAAATACATTTCCAAGTTCTGTTCATTTCTTGTTCAGTGGGTTTGTCTCTGCCTTGACTTCTGCTAGTCCTGGATTTTAGCTTCACCGGAAGAATGTCTGGAACAATGTTTTTCCCTGGAACATGTGCAGCTTGTCACAGTTTTCAGTTCCTCCTATTCTTTTGCAACCTTTCCCCAGGCCATAGTACCAACATGTGCATGTACATTGGCAGAACACTGCAAAAACACAATCTTAGTGTGATTCACTAACTTAGACTCCTGAAAAATGGGTTGTGTTTTTTTGGGGGGGGGTATGGATTTTCTACCCTGGGCTAAATTTAAATGTATCCTGATATCATAAAATGCCCCCAAACAGCTATGGATGCCATCTCAGAAGGAAAGGCACTAAAGTCTGCTTCCCCGAAAAAGTCACACAATTGGTGTCTGGTCTCCCCCCCTTTTTAAACCCCCAATACATTAACATTAGCTAGGACAAAATAAAAGTAAAACACCCCAGTGGCAATAATCAATAGATTTATTGGCCTTCTTTTTTGTCTCAGACTTTTCTTGGTTTTCAAAAATAAAACTGCTGGAACTCTTAAATCTGTATCCCTGGATTAATTTTTTAGGGTTTTTGTTGTTGTTGTTTGGGGAAAAGGTTGGCAAAAACAACAAAATGCACCCAATATAAAATTCAGGGAGTTTTCTTATGAACTTTTTTAAAACGACAACCCCCCCCCCCAAAAAAAAACCCAGGCAATTTTTGAATACAGAAAGGAAAACTATAGATGTCAAGTGGCTGCAATTTGAGGACACTTTATCTCTGTGCAGTTGAAAATGTCCCAGAAGGCCTATATTGTAGGCCTATATGTTGTGTAAATTCTGGTACTAGAATTTACAAGAATCCACTAGAATCTACGCTCTAATTTACCCCCAGATTTACTTCTGTATTAGAAGTAGGTATGATCAGGATTCTTCTTGTGCAGTGTTTCATTCCTGTGTACATGTGGCAAAACACCTTACGAAAAAAATCTTGATGCAACTCAGTATAATCGTTGATAATGTACAGGGAGTTGGAAAAAGCAAAAATGAACTGAATGAGCTGAAAGTTGTGGCTATGCAGCAATTTGTGCTATATATGCTGTGATCTGTACAATATCTAGAAGTTAAAAGTAGTATATGAGAGGTCTCCTCATGTATTGATTTCACAGTGGGGGAAAGAGCACTTAAATCTGGCAAGTTAACTACCAAGAGGAATTGGTTGATGGACAACCTAAAAATATAAACCATCAGCATAATTTTCCTCTGGATGCTAGCCAGAGTCTACCACAGAGTTTGGCGTTCATAAGTTTTACCGCTGTCTGTGGGGCTCAACTGTCCATTCTTTACAGTTATGTTTCTACTAGGAAGGCTCTTTGACTTCTTGAGATCCCTTGTTCCTTCTGTAATTAATTTGTTTTCAAAAATTCTCCTCTTCAAATTTTCATGTTCCCCTGATTAATCAAAGATTTGCTAAATATTCACCAAGCATTTTATACCTATATACCCTATAGCTGATGTCTATATTTGTGAGCTGGTATTTTCCACCATGTAATAGTTGGCATAGGGACGCGGGTGGCGCTGTGGGTTAAACCACAGAGCCTAGGACTTGCTGATCAGAAGGTCGGTGGCTCGAATCCCCGCGACGTGGTGAGCTCCCATTGCTCGGTCCCTGCTCCTGCCCACCTAGCAGTTCGAAAGCACGTCAAAGTGCAAGTAGATAAATAGGTACCGCTCCGGCGGGAAGGTAAACGGTGTTTCCGTGCACTGCTCTGGTTCACCAGAAGCGGCTTAGTCATGCTGGCCACATGACCCGGAAGCTGTACGCCGGCTCCCTCGGCCAATAAAGCGAGATGAGCGTCGCAACCCCAGAGTCGGTCACGACTGGACCCAATTGTCAGGGGTCCCTTTACCCTTTACCTTTAATAGTTGGCATGTGATGAGCACATTAGCATATTTGATAGCGGACCTACAATAATATTCTATACTTGACATATTTGCATGCAATATAATATTTATTTTGCATTTGACTGCATTTTTAAAGTACGCTGTTGTATTTAAAAGGTAATGGTATTTGACCATTGATGTTGTTTCATATTTTTTTCCTATAAAAATGATCAATATTCCCCAAATCCTAATTTTTAATTCCATGGTAAAACCTAATATTGAACCTAGGAATTGGAAACCTTCACATTCAGAAACTTTGAGATTTATTCCCTTTCCCCTCTAGTACTAAGTAAATATTCTTCTGTTGAGAATATATATATATGTAACAGATTCAGCACTCCAAATGCATCACAGCTTGCGAGCTTTTGCTCAATGTCCCATGCAAGTGCAAAGACAGAGCAAATAAGATGTGGGCATATGAACTGGTCCTAGAGGAAACACATAATGTGTGCTTTATTCTCCCTCTTTTCTTCTTCTTGGAAACTGTGGCAAAGAGGAGGGGGCAAAGCATTTGCTTGCCTCTCTCTCAGAGATAAAAGCGCTTCAGCATAGGTCTCTGTCTTCCCCATGAAAAGCACCCTGGGATCCATTGCATTGGTTGTGATTCTGTTTTGCACAGCTGTAATCGGCTTACCTGCCAACAGAAGCTAGATGCTGACGGTTCTAATGCCTTCCTAGGGATCTTCCCAGCCAGATTAAGACGTCTGCTTCTTGTGAAGCATCCTAGTTAAGTATGTTGCAGCATCTGCAGGTGCACAGATCTTGCACAAGCCCTCGCCTCAAGTTTTCAGACAGATGTTGCACGCAATAAATTACCTTTTGATTTCTGTCTCACATTCTGATTGCCTAAATAGTGTTCCCTCCTGTTGAAGCTCTCCAGGCTGGAGGAAACAAAATCTGCTTCTGAAAGTGCTTGTCCATAACGCGATGGATAATCAGCTTTGTTTAGTAGCATACGGGAAAAGAAGTGTTTGTTCTCGGAGTTGTTGTAAATGCAGTGGTGTGTGTTTTGCACTTCATAAACATGTTTGCCTCCACGGGGAGACAAGCATGTGCAATGGGAGGAAAATGTGAGCATGGCTTTGTTTTTTAACCAGTTTCTTCATCTAGACATGGTGTCCACATTGAACCAACATTTCGAGCATCTAACTGATGACAACCTAGATTGTCAACAGTCTTGGTAAATTGATTGGTTCTCACAAATGAAGAAGGCAGAGGAAAGTAGATGTTGACCGAGTCCAGGGAGTGATGAATGCTTTGTAGTTTAACTGGGGGTAGTACCCTCTGCCTTGAAGGACAGTGATATGTTTCCTCCTTAAGAGGACCTCACTTGACCCTGAAGCCCTAACTAATATAGAATTAGTATGTGGACAGAATGTGGTGTCAGGAAGTTGGCCTTGTTTTCTCATCCATTTCTGGAGCATCAGTGATGTCCTGATCCAAAACACATGGATTCATAATTGTTCTTCCCACTTGTCACATGGCAGACATGTCCTTTTGATCTGGGCTTCATCTTAGGCTTGTCAACATGTCTGCTGCAGAGGTGCTTTCTGGAGGATCTAGAGCTGGGTATATCAATCAAATACCTTTATTGGCATGTTTCAAGTAACTGGAATAATTAAAAAGACAAGGGTGAAGCTATCAAGGGTTATAAGGTCCCACTATGGCCATGTGCATTTGGATATTCTGCAATGCCCTGTCTATTTTCCAAAAGGATAGTTCACCGGGAACCCTTTTGGGTAAAACTGTGGCTAAAAAGGAAGCTACTAAAGCAGTAATATCTTTGTCCTGATCTGCCAGGAGAAACCTTCTTTGGCTTCTTCTGGGAGTTGTGGGCTGGAGGTCCAACATTTTGCTCAGCATCAGTTGGCAAGGTCTGCCATGTAAAGGGCAATCTAAGAGAATGTGGTCCATTGAATCAGGTACTTCTTGACTGCAGACACACAAACGGGCTTGAAATGGAATGTGTGAGAATCTGCCTTTGGTCACTGCAGAGAGGAAAGCATTTAGTCTTGCAAGCATAAAGGCTCTTCAATGGGAAGGGAGTAGTAGATCCTTTAGATATTTGGCACAGGTTCTGTAGGATATTGTGATACCTAAGCCCCCGGGAGAACAAGATCTCAGAGTATGAAGTAACAAGCTCTGTCTTTTGTGGTCGTAGAGCCACTGCTTGATTAATTGGAATATGTGATTTTTGTCACATACCTCGAGGAAGAGCTGGGTATATTTGACTGTTTAGAGTATGCCTGCTCCAAGTTCCAGCTTTGTTCAATGGAAAAGTGATGGTGTAGCTCAGAGTCTGGAACAAGAGCTAATTGATGGTAACAATTGTGTAAATGCAGTTGAAAGGGGCTGCTCCTTACACTGTTTTGCCACTTTGGCAGTGATTCAGGGGTGTGGCTTTTGAACGCTATCCCGCTGCAGGCATTAGCAGGAGAAAGTACCTCATACCGTTATGGACATCTCTCTGCTGTAGCTCCTTGAATCAAAGGCATTACTGTGGTGATCCATTGCCATGTCTGAATTACCCACAGATTTATTTGAACTCTTGAGCCCCCAGAAGCAGGGCTAGCCACAGTGGGTGAATCAGACAAGCATACAATACATTCTCACGAGAACAAACGCTTTCAACATTTGTAGCATCAATCTCTTTATTCTATTTCTCCAGGTGTAGGAGCAGAAAACTAAGGGTAGAACGTAAAGCTAGAATTGTGACTCGCTAATTCTGTAGAATTTTGAACTGGCATTTATTTATTTTTTTAAAAAAACAGGATTAAAATGCTGCACTCCATGAATTAGTAATATTGCATTTCATCTTTCATGGGTTTACATGGTGAAAGCGCTGATGGTTTCTCTTGTGTCCTTGTTCCCAGAAGTCTCTCTTCATGCTGCAGCCCAGGTCAACGAACCGGGATGCTCCACAGGAATGCCTTTCGGAGGACTCCTCCCTTACCTCGGGGCAGGTTCAATGGGATCACAGGACCAGCATACCAACAACTAGAAGAGTCAAGGATCACAGATCAGGAGACAATACCTTGTCAAAGGTAGGCAAGAAAAACAACAGGAGCCAGCCAATATTTCCATCAGCTTCAAACTGAAGCAAAACATGAAAAAGTAGACAAAGATGAAAAAATGTGTCTAAAAAAATTCAATGAACACCAAAGCTTATTGGGTAGCTTGCAGCAATACCCTTCCCTTTGGGCCAAGGTTAGCCCAAAACATGCTGGCACCTGAGGAAAACCACAAAATGGCTCCCCCTCCTGCCAGACCTGTGATAGTGAGTGATTAACTGACCCTGGCCATCTCTTTGTCTGTCTCCTATTAGCTTGGAGGCCTCCATTCAGGAATTTGAACATGCTTTGCTAGCAACGTGCTTTGATGTTGACCTTTTTCAGGGTGTGAAGTATTTCTTGAGGTGAGGCCCATATCAGGCCTGCACCAAGGGCAAGCAAAGTGCTAGTGGCATATTTATGTCACTCATTTATACACATGCCCAGTGCCAGACGTGCCAGAATGCACCTCCCACAGAAGACCCACCCCAGAGCCCAAAGAGGATGTCTTGGGGGGGGTGGAATCTCCTCATGAACCAGAGGCAGCCTCCCTCAGGCTCCATGTGGGGGGGCTGCCTCAGGCACCTTCACACAGGAGAAAGAGGCGGCACAGGCAGAGACTTCCTTAAACCGCTCCGCTGAGGGGCATGCGGCTGCCCACATCTCAGCAGAGCAGTTTAACAAAGCCACTAGAGCTGGGCGATGCTGTGTTTTCAACATTGCGGTTCGACAATCAACCGCCATGTTGAAAGATGCTGCATTGGCACGGGGTGAAACTGCTTCCGCTCTCACCACGGAGCTGAGGCACTTTCACCCCAGTGGGCTGGGGCTAATACAGCTGGCCCCAGCCTGCTGCTTGGGGGGGGGGCAAGCTACCTCATCCCCAACTCCCTGAAGATGGGGTTACAGTACCCAAGCGCAGGGAGCCAGTCAGGCTCTGTGTGAGACACAGCCCCCCCCCTCCTGGATGCAGGCAGCCAGGCAGTAGCCAAGCAAGGCTGCATCTGCCCGGGGCCCGCGCTGTGCCCCTGCTCCTACTCGTGAGCAATCAGGAACGCAATCACAGCTGGGAAGGGGGAGAACTTTAACAGAGGCCCCGCCCCACCCCACCGCTGGCAGTTCAGGGCTCCATAAAACTGCTTGGCGGAAGCAAGGGTAGCAGCACGTTCCTCAGCCAAGCAGTTTAAAGACGTGGAGGGAGGAACAAGCTATACTGGCACCTCAGCCAGGCAGCTTGTTCCCTCTGCATTGTATGAGGGCAGAGTGTGATGCTGGTTTCACTCAGTGCGGTATATCACTGGTAAAACTGCCTCTAGCTTGTTTCTCCCTCAGCACACTGGGCACTGGAGGCAGATTAGGAGCGGGGGTGGTTTCACCAGCGACATAGCGTTGAGTGAAACCGCCACCGAACTCTACCCTCCTGTTACAGATGGAGAAACAAGCTGCGTTGGCGAGCTTCAGTACAGCTTGTTCCTCCCTCCACTTCAGCAAGCCACATGTCCCTCTGGCTCATACATGCTGGAGGGGACATGGGGCTTGCTCAGCCAGGGGGGCAAGAAGGCTCAAAGCAGCACAGCCGCCACCCCATCTGAGCCTTCCCATCTCAAGGCAGGAGCAGATGCTGCCTCAGCTCCCACCACTGCCTTGGGACGGGTGAGGGGGAGATGCGAACAGGTTGTCCCTCCCTGTGATGGAGAGGAAGCCTGCTCCCTCTCCCCCCCCATGCCATGGCAGCAGATGAGGCAGGCATACAAACTGAGTGTTAGGACACCTGCCTCATTCGCCACAGCTTTGACATGAGCTCCTTTCCAACATTGTGATATACTGCCATAGTAAAATGTTTTGTAAGGTAAAAGGACCCCTGACCATTAGGTCCAGTCATGACCGACTCTGGGGTTGCAGCGCTCATCTCGCTTTATTGACCGAGGGAGCCGGCGTACAGCTTCCGGGTCATGTGGCCAGCATGACTAAGCTGCTTCTGGCGAACCAGAGCAGCGCATGGAAATGCCGTTTACCTTCCCGCCAGAGCGGCAGCTATTTATCTACTTGCACTTTGACGGGCTTTCGAACTGCTAGGTTGGCAGGAGCAGGGACCAAGCTCACCCCGTTGTAGGGATTTGAACTGCCGACCTTCTGATCGGCAAGCCCTAGGCTCTGTGGTTTAACCCACAGCGCCATTGGTATATTACAATGTTGGAAAGCAGATATCGCCCAGCCCTACTCCTCATGAGCCAGAGGTGCAACAGGGCTTTGGTGAGGCATTTCCTCCCACTTCCGGGGCCCAGCTTAGAGGTGCTGCACGCAGTTCCAGTGAGTTTCTGCTGGGAAAAAAGCCCTGCTCGTGCCGTGACGTACAGGGATAAACCATCCCCTGAGTTCAGATTGATACACATCAGTTCACAACAGGTTCCCCCACTCCAAAGTCCCGCTCCAAACAATATGATCCCACTGGCACAAAATCCACTAGAGCTATGAAGATTGCAGAGGGGAAAGAGTGATTTATGGTTGGCAAAACATTTAGCTATTAATTATGCTCAAACAAAGCTATTATTTTTTGTCATAAACCATGTTACAACTGGATGCTAAATGCCACTCGGTTGATCAGACAGACTAATTCAAATAGCTGGGTGTTAATTTTTTCACCAACAGAAATGGGAGAGCACGAGTGGACTATATTAAACTTAAGACTGTACATAGAGGCCAGGAATAAAGTAGTGAAACACCAAAGGATAAATTGAATTAAGCCAATATATTTAACATAACGGTCCTGTGTTGGGGTAGAAAAAAACCTGACTATGCAGGAATCTCCATTTACACATGACTGTCGGGCAAACTTACATTGTCATGATAGGAGCAGTTTCATTGCATTGGCCCACAGAATGACCAACTTTCACCAGCTTCTAAAACTTACCAAAGATCTTCCCTGGCAGAGAGTTCCATGGGGAGGTGGCCCTTATCGAAAATGTCTGATCCTCATTTGACCACTTGCCAGATTTCATATGACTTGAGTATATGGAACAGGAAGGAAGTTTCCCTTCAGGCACCCTGGTCCCTGAAAATTAATTTTTCACAGAATTAAATCTGAAGCAAATTTGGAGGCAGAGCAGCTAAGAAAAGGTGAAGGAATTTCAGTAAGTCTAGTGCAATTGCTCAGGGACTTGTGCAATTTCTCATGCATCTCCCAATACATTTTTGTGAAATGAATTTATCTATCCTGCTGTATCAGTGTGCCTTTCGGAAAAGCTAACACGTCTCATACCTTTCCTCTCCTCTAGGTTATCTACTGGTTTAAAAACACCACAGAATACTTCAATAAATATGCAACTGCCTTCAAGAGAGACAAGCTCTTATTTTAATAGCGTGGCTCCAAAGGATATGGTTGGCTATCCATCTCCACGGGCCAGTTCCGTCCCCATCATTCCTTCGGTGGGCTTAGACGAAGCCTGCATGCAGACACAAAACGTTTCAGACATAACAGGCATCAAATGGTGCAAAAACTCCTATTCCACTGAACTTGTTAATGTGAGTGCCCCAGCCAGCAGTTGTCTTATTGCAGAACAACAAGAAGTCAAAATATTGTTAGAAACTGTCCAGGAGCAGATCCGAATCCTGACTGACACAAGGAGGTCGGAGGACTTTGCGCTGTCAAATGCCGACGCCAAGAACAGTACAAGTGAAAACACAGCATTTCTGCCCATGAGTCCTGTGGTGAAATCGGAACAAGAGGCACAGTTTGTCTTAAAAAGTGAAATGAAAAGAGACTCAGCATCAGTCAAGTGACTTTGACCGGGGGTGGGGGTAGGGGTGGGGGGTGGGAGGGATGTACGGATCTGTGCATTTGAAGCTTTGCTAAACAGGAAAGAGAGGAAATTAAATACAAATTATTTATATGCATTAATTTAAGAGCATCTACTTAGAAGAAACCAAATAGTCTATCGCCCTCATAACAGTGTTTTTTAACAAAATATTTTTTTAAGGGAAAGAGAGGTACCAGGAGGGAAAACACTTAATCAGAAATTTTGATTTATTTATTTTTTCTTCCTTTCTTCCAGTTTTCTCCCACCCCCTTATTCTGTTGTTTCCTCCGGGCTTACAAAACGCAGTTTCACAATTTTACAGATGTCCTGTTTGAAGGTTTAGTCTGGCACAACACCTTAGATGTATGAATTTCAGAAGAGTGCTACATGAGAACTGTTGTTCTGTTGGATCTTCCACTGAAATGAATGGGAGCAAGAGCACAGTTACTGTTCTTATTTCGCTGTTTCAATGGGGCTCGCTTGGGTGACACTGGCATTGTGCCCAGCGCTCCCCCATGCCTCCTAACCACAATCCCTTTTGAGTAGTCTGGCTCCCACAGCCTCCACAATTCAGACCACTGTTTAACACAAGAGTTTTGTCACTGATCCAGATTTGTAAAACAAATCCGAATGAGCCGTACCAAAATATCACTGGAAATAAAATCCAACTTCAGTTTGGCCATTCGTTCCACAAGCAAAACAAACAAGGAATTCTGAATGAAGTCATAGCAGCTTTGCCAGGAATGCAGGAGGTTGTTGTAAGGGAGAAGGGGATTTGGAAATTTAGGTCCTCCTCCAGTGATGCTTTGCAGGAATCCAAAATGGTTTTGGTAAGTCTAGTAACATTTCTCAGGGGAGTTTAAGCATATCCCTAATGCAAATATGTTACTCTCCTGCAAAAACTAGAATGTGTGACGTCAAGACTTAAATTCTAGCACTTCAGCAAGTGTGGATGCTTTATGGTATTTTATTTTTTAATACCAGGAGGTTTGATCCAAATGAGCACTACTCTAGTAGGTAAATCTAAGGATGTTTTCTTCTCACTTCAGTACTCGCTATCAACGACTTTTATTTGGAAACAATTTCCTCCCCCTCTTAATATCAAACCAGAAAAAAATTCCACTTGAGAGGAAGGTTACTCGTGGCAGATACGCAGCCTGTGTGTATATTACCTATTTCATTTTATTTTCAAACAACACAACAAAAGCCCACACCTTAAACCACATTACGTTTGCCATGGAATTTTGAGTATTGTCAGAATGTTATTCTTGGAAGTCATTTGTGAACTCCAGAGGGACTGCTCAAGTATGTGCATACGTGTGCGTTTTAATTTTATTAACTCCTTGTCCAGGGGCCTGGAGGATCTTGTGCGTTTCTGTATTCGGCATATATATATGCGATTGTCACTTTAATTTACTTTCATGTCTAATATTCCCATTCACTTTCAACCTGATCCATAACCAAGTGAAGCATCTTCACTGGACATGATCCAAAGTTCCTTTGGGCCCCTCGGAGAGGAAATGCTCAGTTTGTATATGTTAATTTCCCATTGTCCATGTGTAGAGCAGCATTGGATGATAAAAACAGAAAATTCAGCTCTCTGGCACTTCCTGCTTTTCTGTATCATCCTTAGCAAAAGCTGCACATCTCATTGTATGGGGCGTGTGCCAGTTTTCCTTCAGGGGTTACATGGAAATGGGAAGTATAAGTCTTGTTCTCCCTGCAAATTGTAAAAGGCCAGAGCTGCCCTTAGGTTTTCAACCTTAAAACCTGGATCACACAATCCTAAGTGTAGGGAGACCCCTGAATTTGAATGGACACATTAGCAGCAATCTGTCCTCAGATGCTTCTTTTACACATCGTGCAATCCACTGAGCCAAAGTGGTTTTAGAAAAATATTCATTGATATTAATGGAGATGGGTGAGCACAAAATCAGGTCCTTAAAAATAAGATAAACTTGCCAGTTGGGGTTTTCCTAAGAACTTGAAATTTCTTTTGTATTGTTTTTATTTAACCACAAACCACAATATGGCATCAGAATAAAGAACTTGTGTTCAGTAACAACCTATGTATTAGTACTTTTTTATTTTTTAAACAAGAGTATCATCTGCTTAAAATGTTTGTACAAATTACTCTCTATAGTAAAGAAAAGGAAAAAAATAGACCAAACAGCCTTCCCTCTTTAATGGTAGAGATCATATTTTCTAAAATATATGCACACTATATAGATGGAATACATTAATACTCTAATCCACAGCCAGAATATTGTTATAAAAAATTGCATTACCTTGATTCCCAAGTTTCTCAAGAGCCAGGTTTCCAATATAGCACAGTAGATATGTTCCTGTGATAATGAGAAGAAAGCAATATTTTACTCCCCGTCAAATAAACTGGATAAAGATGCTTTAAAAATGCCATTTGTTTTACTTGCCATTCACAAATCCCCAGCACCATTCAAAATCCGTAGACACACAAATCCTCCCCCCCCCCCCCAATGTTGATGGAATTGTCTTGTTTACATAACTTTCTATGGCTCTAATCTTTGCTGTGTGTTTTCACTAAAGCGGTATTTCACTGCAAACTCTGACTGATCTGATCCAGAATGGTACCACCAATTATACTTTTCAACCAATGTCAGAAGTTCTCGTAAGATTGGATAAAAGGGGTTTGGGGTGCTACCCAGAATCATAGGAAAAGACAATGAACACAGAGTTGGCTGTTTTGCTGGAGTGGGGAGCAAACAAAGAACCTCCCCTTCTAACCAGTCTTAAAAATCTACTGGAAACACACTGCATGATTTCTGCTGGAGAAAAAAAACAAATCTGCTTTTGGCAATGCCTTTCTTAAAGCATTCTATCATTTTGCCATCCTCAAAAGGAGGAAGAGCAGAGCAGCAATGTATTAATGGTCAGTTGATGTGGTTTCTTGGTTTCTTTTTTTAATTGACATGAGAGATGAAGATCTGAAACGGTGGGAAATCTTCCATTTGTGTTAGCAATGCTCTCTGTATCCAGCAAAGGATGTGTGACTGTTATATGTTAACTGTTCTATTCAGTTTTCAGCATGTTTGAATAGAGAGACATTAATATTAACCATCTGAAAGACTAGTGTACTTATTTGTTAAGAATACAACTTCATCTCACAAATTTGATGCAGGGGAGGTGTGTCAAGATATGCTGGCACGGGTAATTCTTAATCTGAATTAACAGTTTGTACTATGAACGCTTCCCCCCACCCCACCCCATGCTCACTTCAGTCTAGCATTTTAATTCCTTACTCAGACTGCACAAAATAGTATAGCAAGTTGCTGCATGTACACAACACACACACATGTACACAAATTCAGGAGGTACTAGGAAAATTTCTGCTCTGCTTTAACCATCATGTGAAACAGGTCATTTCAAAGGCACGGGAAAGCATCCATCTATAAAGTGACAGCCAGTGATTTCATTAGTCAATATTTCAGAACTCCTGGGCTTTGGTCCAAGCTAGGTGTGCCATTGATCAAGGCAGAAATTCAGTGCCTATCACCTGTACCGACAATATTTGGAGATTTTTAATGGTTTCATGAGGAAAAATCTCATATCTTAAGAGGACCATAAAATATGTTATAGACATTCCCTATGCCTTGTGACGCTGAACAGTCATTCGCACCACAAGTGCCAGCTTGGCCCTGTGACCGTGGGTGCCTGGGGCTATGGGTGTCATACAGCATGCATGACCCTGGCACTGAAATTTGTGGGTGCCTGGCCACTTCATGGGGAATTTTGTGGGTGCTCGGGCACCCAGGGCCCCAGGCAGTTGGCGCCTATGATTTCTACTCAAATGTGCTTGCGTATGTTAGGTGTGCACAAATGGTTGTTCCTGATATGCACAGCATTTCAAGCATTCTAATCTGTAAAATATGAAGACTACCTATTTTGAAATGGGTGGGAAGGCTAACACATAATACATCCAATTCCTTTTTAAAAAGCCTACTACATGGTGATCTTTTGTGTATGCATTTCATTTACATAAACAATCCATTCAATGAATAAAGCCACTGTGTACCATTTTCACACACACACACACACACACACACACACACTCAAAATGCACAACATGATTGTTTTCTAAAGTGCCCCATTAGCAGTTGCTCCACCATCTGGAAACTGTTAAGTAAATCCCCAAGATACAAAAGCAGTTTGTTTCTGAAAGAGATTCTGAAAGAGAAATTGCCCCTTGACGGCAAATTCTAGTCTTCTGGGCATTTCCCAGCTGTTGAGCTACCTAGTCCATAAAGGAAATTGGGAGAGGAAGCTTGTGGTAGGAAAATTCATTAAATAACTATAATGATGCACTGATATATTGAGTTGTGGCCAATGGGTGCAACTCCCATCCACAACAGGGAAAACACAACCGTGGATGCATTGTGTAGTAACACATTGGTGGAAGGTGGAACCTAAAGATACTGCAGTGCTAAAGCTATGAGTGCACTGGTGTTGCCTCTCTGAAATGGGATTGCTATGGAGACTCTCATAAGAACGTGGCCCCACTGAAGGATTTGTAGCATAGGTGGAGAGCAGAAGTTGTTAGACTCCCAGACTCCTAAAGCCCAGCCAGTATAAACAGTGGTCAAAGATTAGGAGAGTTGTAGTTCAACAACATCTGGAGGACCACAGGTTTTCCAGAAATGATATGTGAGCATGCACATCTCAAAGGGAATAACATGTAAGTTTGGCCAGGGATAGCTCAGTCAGCAGAGCATGAGACCCTTAATCTCAGGGTCATGGGTTTGAGGCTCACATTGGGCAAATGATTCCTGCATTGCAGGGGGTTGGACTAGATGACCCCTGTGGTCCCTTCCAACTCTACAATTCTGATTCTATAAAAGAGACGACGGGAGTATGAATCAGAAAATGGTATTCAGTTTGGAAACAAACATTAAATCTGTCCAAAAACTCTTCCACACAACCACCCATTTGCCCCCAAACCCAAAAGAAGACACATGAGCCAAGTTGGAGGAACTGCAAAGCAACAATAAACCAACTATCCAAATTCAAAGAAATATGTGCAAGTAGCACTAGGTCCCGCTGTCAAGTGTTCACCGAACATGCACATACCAAGCCTACAGGGCACCCCTAAACCTCACCATGCACCCTGGCAGAGCTTTGAAAAGTGCCCATAACCCAACAATGCCTCGGTTTACCCTATATTCCACCACTTCCCTACCTGCCCATACTCAATGCCCCAAACAGGCTGCCATACCATGCCACTGCCAGAAGCCAGGCAACGAATAGAGGAACCATAAGGACAATCAAAGGGATGCAGGTGGTGCTGTGGTCTAAACCACTGAGCCTCTTGGGCTTGCTGATCAGAAGGTCGGCGGTTCAAATCCCCGCGATGGGGTGAGCTCCCGTTGCTTGGTCCCTGCTCCTGCCAACCTAGCATTTCGAAAGCACACCAAAAAGTGCAAGTAGATAAATAGGTACCGCTTTGGCGGGAAGGTAAACAGCTTTTCCATGTGCTGCTCTGGTTTTGTCAGAAGCAGCTTAGTCACGCTGGCCACATGACCCGGACAAACGCCGGCTCCCTCAGCCTGTAAAGTGAGATGAGCGTCACAACCCCAGAGTCGTCTGTGACTGGACTTAACTGTCGAGGTCCTTTACCTTTACCTTAAAGGACAATCAAGGAATCTCACCCTCCCCAATCCAACTCAGCCCCTTCAAGAGGCAACAATAATAAAGGGAGGGAGAGAGGGTGCTCTAAAGAAAAGCAAGGAAGAATGTTTAGAGGAGGAGCAGGTTTAAGTGTCCAGCTTCCCATTTATTTCTTCCCACTTTATTCGGACCAGGAAGCTCTGCTTGCAGCTTCGGAACAAGTCAGGATCACAAATCACAATTTGAAGCTGGTTTAAGATTCTGGCTTGTTCTGAAATTGGCAAACTATAGTCTCCCAATTTGGAGGGAACTGGAAACTATGTTTCATTGGAGACTTGGAAGTTTGATTACAGAGGACTGCGAAAGGAGGAGAACAGGAGCTGAGTGCTCAGACAAAAAGCTCATTGGTCTCTGGGCTTATCAAGCCAAGATATGATCATCCTAATTGGGTCAATGAGTAGGGAGGACTCATAACAATTCAACAAAGCCGGAGAGCTCAAAGCCAATAGTAACTGAAGTTTCAAAAACTACAGCCTGCCATCTTAAACTACTTTTCATCCTTTTTTTGTTGAATTCATTTTATTTGGTTCAGGGAACTAACAAACAAAACTATTTGCAGTGGTGATATGCAACTCTCATTGTTCTTTTATTTTCTTTTAGTTAAAGAGAAAAGACATTCAGATCTGTTAGCAGAGGAGAACTCTAATTGTTCAGTGATTAAATCAGATGCAGCATTTGTCTCTTTCAATGATCATAAGTCCAATAAAAGATTATCCAAATGGGGTTTTCAGCTTTGTGCAAATGGGTTTTATAGAGCTAAACAGATATTCAGCCTACAGAAAGTGTCTCGCTCCTACTGAACCAAGGATCATTGATCTATTGCTGGATCTGATCTATTGCTGATATTGTGACCTATTGCTGAAGGATGCTTTCTGGAGAAATGAATCATTCCCTTCTGATTCACAGCAGTGTGGGCTACCCTTTACTTTGGATGTGAAAAATCTGTTGGGGTCAAAAAGAGTCATGCAGTCATCAGTGACAAAACACTGGATGTCCTACCATAGCCACCCTCTTCCTAGGGTTAAGTGGTCTCTATTTGAACATTAGTTCAGATAAAACATTCAACATGCACACATTTAAACATACAAATGTTCCCAATGCTGTTGGAAACAAAAACTTGAAATAGTGGGTTTAAACCTGAATGCAAATTAGATTCGAACCAGCACATAGATAAGAGTCTCACATGCTCTATCACATATTCAACATCTAAAATGTAAATATGACAAAAGCAGGATTGGTTCCATGAACCAGTGCTGAAAACCTGAGCATCTTTTCAGAAATGCACAAACAAAAGGCTGCAGTCCTATACCCACTTGTCTTACGATAAGCCCTGCTGAATTTGCAGGCTTTACATCTGAGCAGATACCTATAGGATTGCTCAGTTTATCTGCTTCTTTGCAAATAATTTTGTTCTTTGCGAATAATTAAAAACTGTGAACAAGGGCTGCTTGCACTCTGAGAGCCACAGGGTTGCATTTAGAGAAACAGCGCCATCACAAAACATTCCTCTCAAGTCTAAAAGAGAAACACAACAGGAGCAAAGCAGAATTTCCTGTACATGCCTCTAACAAAGATGCATAAAAATATAATTTTTAAATAGTTTGCAAGTAGGATTCAATGCTATGTACCACTTCTTTGGAAGTAATTCCCATTGAACTCAGTGGGACTTACTCCTAAGAAAGCATGTGTCGGATTGGGCTGCATATTTCCTTCTTTTTCCTTCTTTCATATATATTTTTTAAAGAAGTTGAAAATGTTTCTGTGTTTCCCCCCTGTATTATTAAAAAAAATTCAGGCCCACAGTCTTTGTGGGGTGGGATGGATTGGGGCAGGTGCTCATTTGTGTATGTGTCATTTATCACCCCTACATTTCAATAAAGCATCAATGGCAATGGTTCAAGCTGCTGATTGTCTGACGACACAGACAAGCACATTTTCCAGGTAAGGAGCCTATAAACACAGGTGCATTCTTTGGAACGGTGAGAGGATATTGAGAAAACATTCTCATAAAAATAAAATACAGAGAGATGCAACATACAGCCCCCAAATTTATCATATTTATGCCCTGCCTGTGGGCCTTCACTCAAAAGTTCTTCATTGCTTAGCTATTCTCCTTAGCTATTTGGTGGGGAGAACTTTCACTGATAAAAATGTGTGTCGGCTTATGCACTCAAATGATGCCACAGGGCCAAAGTATAAATTAAACACATTTGGCAAGAGTGTGTTTGAACTGGCCACCTTTATTTTGATTGGGGGGAGGAGGTACATGAAGCCCCACTCCAGAGAAAATATCTGATCTGAATTGTTTATTTTCCCCGATGTCTGCAGTGCACAATACTGCACTCTTGGGGACAAAAGAGCAATTGGAAGTTTTGGCAGGAAATGGATCCAGGCTCCCACACCCAATTAGGAGTTTGTTATCGTACGGGCAGTGGCGGAGCTTCATGCTCCAGCACCGGAGGGCAGAGAGCAGGCGGGGGTGTGGCTGGCATGCATCCCAGGGGCGTGGTGCCCATCCTAGGGGCGTAGCATGCCACCTGTGGGGGCATGGCACCCAGCACGGGCAGTGGGGGCAGCTGCGATTGCTCCCCACTGGGATCGCGCTGCCAGGGGCGGCGCGTTCCCCCCCACACTCCTCTTCCTCCACCACGGCATCCCGTACATCAGCTTAAAAATAATAATAATGTGTTGTAGCATGGAGTTTGGGTGAAAGTTCTAAAAGCAATGGACTGTCAGCGACAGGTTTGAAGCGGACCTGAATGAAATGGGCTTCTATATCTGGTGTCAGAACTCAAACTAGAAAATGTAATCCAATTCCATGCAACAAGGAGACATGGAAATCAATATTGTTGTCAGTTGTTTTCCTCTTATATTTAATACTTTTCAAAAAGTGCAATGCAAACAAATGTTTGGAGCTTAAAATGGAATATGCATGGAAACTGCCAAAACATATACAGTCGTACCTTTGATCCCAAACGCCTTGGTACTTGGACTTTTGGCTCCTGAACGCTGCAAACCAGGAAGTGAGTGTTCCAGTTTGCGAACATTCTTTGGGACCCAAACATTCAACGGGGCTTCCGTGGCTTCCAATTGGCTGCAGGAGCTTCCTGCAGCCAATCAGAAGCTGTGCTTTAGTTTCTGAACATTTTGGAAGTCGAATGGATTTCCAGAACGGATTCCGTTCGACTTCCAAAGTACGAATGTACTGTCTTCAATTAACATCAGTGGGGTTTGCAGTACAAGGAAATTTGGGAAGTTTTCATCCTTTGTACTGGAGCAGGCTGAGCAAAAGCCAGCTATCCAGCTATCCCTGCATGATAAGGTGAAAATCCTTCTTCTACACAAAAACCAAGGTTGCCGGAGACCAGGCCTCTCACCTAGCCACCCTATTGGTTGGCCAGTCATCTTCATTTCCATTCAACCCCTCTCTCTGCTGCCTTTCTGTCTGCCCCACAGATTGTGTCCATTCCTTGTCTCCTGTAAGTACACAAATAGAACACATCAGGTACCTACACAAATTCAAACTGGTGGCATTCCTGTGTCTGTAAATATGGACTCTGCACGGTATATGAGTTTGCCATTAACATTGCATCCCACATTTTTGATTAATGCCATGTTTCTGACCTTTACCGCTGCTGCTGCTGCTGCTGCTACTGCCGCCGCCACCTCAAGTTCTTTTTATGACTGCAGTGGTTTTGCAACCAGCAGGGAAATTGCTTGATAGGCTAATTTAGCTCCAGGCTGCCTGTTTGTAGGATGGTTCCTGCCTTCATCCTGGAGCCGATTTCTCTCTCACACACCCCCACTGACATATTTGGTGCAGTTAGTGGTGCCCAGATGGTGGTTTATGTCAGATAAAGTGGATTTCTGTACAGTTACGTTTATGGGAAATAGTAAATATTATCCTTCTTCCTATGAATTCACAGCGTTTTATATAGGGGCCACATGTCAAGAGTGAAATGGCAGAGAACTCACAGGGTGAACCTGGGTTGCACCACCTGTTATGAGGAAGGCCAGATTCCGGTTATTGCATGTCAAAACCAAGTAGGAAAACTGTTCTTGGACTCTTCTGTCTACAGATTTTTGTGACTGAGTGCTCCCACAAGCTCAACAACTACTACAGACAATGAAAACTAGTTTTTAGGGAGAACTGTTCTATAGAATGCAGAGCTAGTCCTACCATTAGGCACAGTTCTTACGGAGACCCCTGGCCATTTCCTCTGTTAGAAGTCAGAGCTATGTGTGCCTATTATACATCCCCATCAGCTAGCCTGCTGCCCTCAGCTGCCTATTGCCAGGACTGAAGATGCCTAAGAGTTCGCTTCTGCTCATACACTGGAGGTGGGGAGCCATCTTGGTTTTTTGCCTCAGGCAGCATTTTGAATTTAGATTCAGATTTGTATATTTGTTTTAATATTTCCATATGGTATGTTCCTGATCTGTTCCATACTATATCCCCCCCGCCCACCTGAAAAATATGCCACTTTTAATTGGCTAGTGAAGGCTAGTGAAGGGATGGGGATGAAGTCAGTTTAGCCCTAATTTGCACTTTGTGGAAAAAAATACATGAACCAAAACACAGCTATCCTTCATTTTGAAAGTGTCAAAAATGTGTATATTAGGAGAAAGGGCACAAAAGAGCTGTATTAGTGAAAATAACTTGAAAAAATGTGTATTATTAAGGGAAATTGATTGCAACACAGATGCATATTTAGCAGAACTGAATACAAAATATGTAAACATTGGGGAAATGTATAATAAAATGCTGACACCAGCTAATGTGGAAACGATGCAAGCTGACCCCAAGATTGGGAAAATGAGAAACTGAGAGAAAGCAAAACTGACAGACTTGCCCATCCCTAGAGTAGATCACAATGGACAAAATGACATCTTTGCACTACTGTAAATTCATTCCGTTTCCCCAAACTAGGCCTGTGTTCCCACACTGAAGAAAGGACTTAAACGTTCATTTCATCTCCACCCAGAGGCAAGAGGCAGGCATCTTGCTTGCCACTTTCCTGCTTAGAAAAGGGATACTTATTCTTGTGGGTGATTGATGGCTCAGACAGGCATCTCCCTAAGTTGAGCCATCCGTGAAACGAGTTGCCCTCTGGCGTGGCAAACCGCTGCACTGACTTCCGAGGGGGCTGTTTAAATTGGGCGCAATAAGATGTAGTGCAGGCGGTTCATAAAATTCCTATTAAGAATCAGGCCTGACACTTGGTTAAAATTTAGCTAGCTTGCGGAATCCTATTTGCCACTGTTAAAAACACATTAATTATCAGTGCCCTCTCATGCAAGACTACAGTGCATGTTATATAGCTCCAGAAACACCCCGCGACAATAATTCCAAGCGTTTTTTTCTTGTCCGCTTGGCTGTGGGAGCTGAAACTTTGCTCAGGTGTTGCAAGCAATTTGGACCTTGTAATGCGCCCAGCTCACAGATGAAAACTGACAGCCCCATTCTATGGCCAGATCAAAATGGCCACCCCTTGAACTGCTACTTAGACCAGAGCAAGTCTGGAATTCATGCCTTACGTTAGGCAGAAGACGCAGACAGTTAAGTCAGATCACCGAACTGATATAAGGTGAAATCCTTTGCACCCACAAAAACAGTGGGAAAGAATAGTATGACCCAAATTATGTCCTGTAACTTTCCAGGTTAATGGCATTGCAGACAGATTTTTCCCTCCCTCTGGAAGGAATTAACGTGGAATTGAGTACTGAGCTTCCGCTAGAAACTAATACATTTCCAGATGTGGCTTTTACCTTATGTGAAAGATCATACATAACAAGAAATTACCAGGTAAGGAAACATCAGGAAAATTGAATAAAGTGTTGTCTAAATGCAACCTCTCATTTTCTTCCTTTCTTTCTCAGAAGGTGCTCTGAGCGAACAATTCAGCTCCCCCAGAACTGTGCTAGCTGGATCTTTGTCCTTGAGTGCTGCAATCCACTCTGCTTTTACAAGGCAGACACAACACTCCCTCACTCTATTTCCCACTACAAAAAAAACCTTTGAAGGGCATCTTTGAAACATATTCTTTTGACAGGAGCAGCCAAAGCAAAACATGCCTTGTTTTCCCCAGCTGCCCCTAAAGAGCGAGCTAGGAAGGGAGGCGCTTCCTTTACACATAAGACCCCATTTATTTGCACTATGCATTTAAAGCAGTATCATGCCACTTTAAAGAAGGATCGATTGTTTAACCACTCTGAGAATTGTAGCTCTGTAGGGGATATAGGGCTCTTCTAACAATTCTCAGCAACCTTAACAAGCTATAGCCCTGTGGCTCTCTGTGGGAAGCCATGACTATTTAAAGTGGTATGATACTGCTTTAAATGTCTCAAGTGGATGGGGCCTAAGGCATGCTATCCATTTTATTTATACTGACCCTAGGGCTGCTTGGGGTTTTTATAGGTTTCTGTTGCCTCACTGGATTCTTTAGTACCTTAAAAAGGCATTATTATTATTATTATTATTATTATTATTATTATGGATTCAATTTTTTAATCCCACTTTTCCTCCCAAAGGAGGCCAACTACTGCCGCCTCTGTTGAGCTTCTGTGGAGTTGAAGCAGCTTTTCCTGCTGCTGTTGCTGCTGCTGCTGTTGTTCTAAAAACTGATACTGACGTGATTATTTTGTTTTCTTGAAATCAATAAAAAGGATATCCATAGAAAGTGAAGGGCAGGTCTCTCACTTCTGAATCTCACTCATAAAGCAACAAAGAGGGAGACGCAAAATAAGTAAAGCTTTTTCTGCTAGGGTTATTTTTGTGTGTGTCATATTGTTGTTCAAGTCATATGTACCCCCATTCTTCGTCTCTGGAGAAACTGATTCCCGCGGCTAGTAATCTAGCATGATTTGGCCTTACCAGGCAACATCACTTTCTAGCCCAGGAGTCACCAGTCTGCTCTACTCCATATGCTGTAGCATACAACTCCCATCAGCCCCAGTCCATGTGGCCAAAGGTCAGGGATGATGGAAGCTGTGGTCCAACAATATCCACATTGGCTACCCTGTTCTAGCCAGTGAGGAAGTGGAAGAAAAAACCCCACCTTGCTGAGTACAGGTTTCAGCCCAGATTAGTTTGACAAAGGCTGAAGCCCAGGCTTATGAAATAACATTTGCAAAACTGAATAAATATAGTTTCTCTAATATAAAGTGCTCATCTTCTCAGTTAACCTTATTCAATTTTGAGCTATTAACTCTTCAGAAGTATTTGTCAAAAAAAGCCCAAGGTAAATATTCAATATTCCTAGAAATAATTGATCTTGAGCTCCGTTTCCATTTCTCTTGCTGATACTTTCCAAACTAAATGATTCTGGAAATTCTAAGATAATGTTGCATTTGTTTTGTTTTGCTTTTACACTAGACTGCCCCGTGGGCAGTAGGAGGGATACACGTAGTCCAATTAAATATAGGTTATGTCTGAAATTATATTCTATAGGAATATAATTGTTTGCAGCAAGGTGCTCCTCCCACATAATTTTTCTGCAGGGAGAGAAGAGACCTGGATGCAAAGAGCCATTTTTATACATTATTTTTATCCTTAGAAAATTATTGGAAAATTTCACCTTGGATAGAAGCCATATTGCATATACAGATCACACTTTAAATAGGAAACCTGCTAAGAAACGATAAATAGCTATACAATATCAAAACATTAAAAGAAATTCGCCCTCTATTTCTCAAACACAAACACAAGAGTCGCCAACTCTTTTTATACTTTTATGCGGCAAATCAATTCAAGGCTGTAAATGACTCAGAATAAATGGCAAATGAAAGACAAAGACAGCCTTTATGTTTACATCAAAACATGGAGGCTTTAAGATAATTTTGTTTCAATATACAAGGTCCACATGCTTTTTACAGCCTTAAAAAAACTCACATCCTATGTGCATGTTGCCAGCCTACTTGAGGCTTGTGTGAATAAGCAAAGACCAAATACATCAAGGGGTTGATGACAAGGGTAGCTATGAACTTAGAAAATTTGCTAGAAGCTTTAAACCAGGGGGTGGCTAACCCCTTCCAGATGTTGTTGGACTTCAACTCACATCAGCTTCCATCCAACAGGGCAAATAGGGATCGTGAAAGTTGTAGTCCTGAAACATCTGAAGGGGGTAAAAGTTAGCTATTGTCTGCTTTAAGTCTATGAATATTCTGATTTATTTATTTTTAAGTTGCCTCTTATACAATAGACATTTAGTAGTGCCTCAGAAATGTTTTCTCTCTCTCTCTCTCTCTCTCTCTCTCTCTCTCTCTCTCCCAAATTCCAGAATTCACCATTAAATGCCAGTTTTGGACGTGATGATGTCACAACAATTAAGTGAGCTTTTATTTATTTTAATGTGTGCTGGCTCAAAAGCTAAATTTGAAAAACTGCAGTTTCATTGAGATCATTTTGTAATTAGAGAGTGCTGTGTCAGTGCGACTAGCATTGTCTTCAGATCTCTCTCTCTCTTTGGAAATACACGTAAAATTCTTGCCTTCCTGATTGTCATCACTTTCCCTGAGCTGACAAAAAAATCTACCTCATGCTATGCTCCAGGAGAGCAGCATGGGGGGAAGTGCTGTAAAAATTAGTCATTTCCTTTAGTTTTGGAATATTTTTTAAAGATCTATCACAGAATGGAAAGACGTGAGAAATCATCAACACAGTATAGCGGCAACTCTTAATATAATTTTAATCAGGACGGTGCTTTAAGTAGCCAATTTAATCACTGTCATCATCAACATCATCAGAGTGATTGAAACCATCATTACGTTGCCTGTTGATTATCTGGAGGTGCTTCTTCCTGCACCATACAAGTTGTTCATTAGAAAAGTGTCAGAGAGGGCGGGAGAAAGTGGCTTACTAGGGCAGCAGGGCATGCCAGGGTCAGTCCTTGCAAAAATAAGAGTGAAGAGTGAATACACACAGAGAGAGACTATATCTATATAGTGTATTTGTCTTGATCTATATATCCATATTGTGTGTGAGAGAGAGAGTGTGTGCATGATATATAGATATAGATAAAATATGAAATATATAAATACAGAACTTACATCTTTTGGAAAGTTGTTTGTTTGCTCCCTATGAATTTGGGTATCTCTTAAGATATTCTAACCAAATGTTGCATGATGGTTCCTGAGATGATGGAGCAGGTTTTTGTCTATGTTTGGATACAGTTGGGTGCCCTTTTGAATCAAGATGCTGGACTGATTTATTTATTTTCAAAACCGTGTTGATTTTAACCACCGTTTTCAAAACTGCACCGATGTTGCTGGTGTTGATAAATTTAAAATCAAAATATCAATAATTGATTATTTATATTTTTACAGTGTGCGTGTACGTGCGTGCGTGCGTGCATGCCAAATGTCTGTTTTGCTCCAGGCACCCAAATGTATAATGTACAATGACAATAAGAATTTTTCTTTTACATCACCTTTCCACCTAACGCTCATGGCGGCTTATGGGAAATCTGACAAAAATATTACCTTAGTACAAAACTCAATGGCATAAACCATTAACCCACTATGTCTGCATTTATAGAATAAACAATTCGTGGCATGACAAAAATATGTAATAATCGGGATATGAAACAAGGTTCTATGAACCAATTTATCACAATATAGCGACAAAGAAAATCAATCACATAAGAAATCATTGCATTGACAGTTCTGTCCTAACCTCTTGGGGGGGGGCATCTTTCTGCCTGCAGTCAGCCTGTTCCAGTCCTTCCAGGTCAGGTGAAAATGGGCCAGGCAAGGCACAGGAAATTAGGTATTATGGGATGCCATTTCTCTGCTCCATTCCAGCAACATCTACACTGCTTGTTTGCAGCAGAACCATACTTGTGGGCATGGTAATAATCTGAGTGGTACCAAAAAAAAGTCTATATTTGTCATATTTTTTCCAGTCCTGGCTTTGCTATAAATTGTGTGCATGCCTCACCCCACCCCGCCAGAAGAAACCTATCATTCACAGAGGGTGCCATTCCAGACAACAATTGCAAGATGGCTGAGACTTCACACAACAAAGAACACCCATCTCTCCCCCTTCCCCAGCCGACCCCTGTACATTGTCCTTGGAACTAGCATTGCTTCCTCATGAAGTGTCAGTCTCAGGGCAATCTAATCCCATTTTTAAAACACGCCCGTCAGCTAAGCTAGGTTTCTGAGACTCTCACATACGTTATTATAAGTACTGCCATCTTCCTGGAAGTCAAATGACTTTTGGGCCCTCCACCTTTGTTTGCGGGGGAGGGGAGGAGGGAGATTCAACAAAAGTGGACGGGACCTTTATGTACTTCCAAGGGAACACAGCAGGAAAGGTGATATAAAAGGCATCTGGTTGGCTCCTAGAAGAAAAGAATGCTGGACTTGATGGGCTTTTCACCTGATCCAGCAGAACTCTTCAGATATTCTCAAGTGTCCTTCTGGGTGAGTTACTGAGAAAGTTTATGCTAACTGTTTTGGGGAACTGTGAAGAGAAAAACAGGGATCTGGCAGGTATGCAGTTGGTTCCCCAGTTAGACCTCTGCTCACCACTTTTCTGTCCAGAAGGTGCCAACATCTACTGCTTGTTTGGTTATTTTAGGGTAGAATTCATCCCAGTGGTAATACTGGAACAACCAGACACCCATTGCATAAGTTGGCCAAATGACTGCCTTGGGGTGAAAGGGAAAGAAGATAAGTCCCCTAGAGATGTCAAGGTAGGGGCTGGACCCAAACCAGCTTGAGTGCCTTCAAAAGGAAGGAGAAAAGGTAACAAAAGGGCAAGGGAAGTGAGGTGGAAGAGGCAATAAGTAGAGGCAAGACAGTCAAGGGATAAAAGAAAGGGAAGTCGAACAATGATACATGGGAACAAGGGAATTTTGGAACTGGCACTCATTTGTCGACTCAACTCCTCCCCAGATTTCTGGTCATATTTTCCATACACATTCCCACTATTTTGGTAGGCGCATTCCTGCACATGCATCTTGGGCCTGTATAATATTTTTCTCAGTTGCAACATAATATTTAAGAGGCGGCAATATTGTTGCCAGGGAATGGAGTCGGGAAGATAAGTGCACATTTAACAGACCAGAATATAACTCACGAGCTCGCTCGCTCTCACTCTGTCAGGGCCAAGAGGGAGAGACAGACAGAGGGGTGGTGGGGAGAAAGTGCCTTTAGCACCCATTATGGAGAGTTCATAAAAGAAATCTTTCATTTTGAACATTGTGCTGAATTTTGCGCACTAAATGAAATTAGTGGAGACTCAGTGTGGGAGTTCAAGATTCAATAATATGTTGGCAGAGGTATCAAGTCTCCCCCACCAGGCAAGATACACGCACAGGTCACCACCTACACTTACTGAGCTACTCGTCTGTATCTAAGAATAAATGTTCTCATTAGTGGGTACAAGAAATATTGCAACGCCAGCTATTGGCCTGAGAAGATGGGAAGAATCAGTGTAGCATTTCACAATCCCGGTTACATCACACCTTGAAGAGGGGGAAAATTGCCGTTGCTACAGTGCCATCATAATGCCACAGCTGTGCCAAAACCCACTCATCTTTAGTGGGCTTATTCAGATGCCTAATGCCTCCACAGCATGATTCTGAATGCCCAGGGAGAGCGCTGCTGCACCCAGGACCAGCTTGCTTGCTTCCCAGAGGCAATTGGATGGTCAGCCTGAGAGCAGGATGCTGACTTAGATGGGTCTGATCCAGCAGGCCCTTCTTACGTTCTGAGGTTGTGTGGGTAGACATTATCAGCAATGCCAAAACAAACCCCTTTCCAGCAATGTTTCAACATTTCACATGGAAATATTCACATTCTCCTTTAAATTGCCAGTTGTCCTGGTGCCCTCAATAATACCATCACAGAATCAGATCACAGCTGTCAACTTTTCCCTTTTCTTGTGAGGAATCCTATTTGGAATAAGGGAATTTCCCTTAAAAAAAAGGGAAACGTTGACAGCTATAAATCAGATCTGTTTGGTTATTGGTATTGTGACATTCCATTCAATAAATTTTGTTCAGTCGAACCACCTTTTTCATTTCTGTCAAGCTCTTCATTCCCTTGGAGCAATTTCTCTGGGGATGCAGAATGATGGTGGCAGGATCTAGAACCAACCATGAATGGAGCCAAAGGGTTATAGTCAACTAAATCATATTCAGGGTACATTCACTGGAATTAAAACTTAGGCATGGGTTAACCAGGAATGGGAGTGGCGCTGTGGTCTAAATCACTGAGCCTCTTGGGCTTGCCAATCAGGTCAGCAGTTCGAATCCCCGCAACAGAGTAAGCGCCCATTTCTCCATCCCAGCTCCTGCCAATATAGCAGTTCAAAAGCACACCAGTGCAAGGAGGTAAATAGATACAGCTGTGGCAGGAAGGTAAACAGCGTTTCCATGCGCTCTGGTTTCTGTCACTGTGTTCCGTTGCACCAGAAGCAGTTTAGTCATGCTGGCCACATGATCCAGAAAGCTATCTGTGGACAAACGCTGGCTCCCTCGGCCTGAAAGCAAGATGAGCGCTGCACCCCATAGTCGCCTTTCACCGGACTCAACCATCTAGGGGTCCTTTACCTTTTACCTTTTTACTGCCAGCTTCAAGAAGATTGATGGCTTCAGAATGCAATATATCCCCTCCTACTTGAAAGAGAGGGACTCCCATAGCAACCTTGTACTGCTTGACTGAACATTGTGGCCTCCTGGTGGTGCAGCCTACTTGAAGGAGGCAGACTGGGCATTGTGACTTCATGATTATGATTACTGCTTTGGGGGAGGGACTAGCCATTGTGATCTCATTCTGACACTGCTTGACTGAAGGGCAAAGACTGGACATGGTAGCATCATGCTAATGCTGCCAGCTCCAAGGAATGGCTATTGTGATCTCACACTGAGGCTGCCTCTCCAAAACCAGCCAAAAATGTTAGGGAATCATGGAATAGTTTGGGCTCAGTTTGATGAGAAAAGATAATCCTAACTCAAATGCAACTGCTGTGTCTTTGGGATGCCAGACAATGACTGCCTCTGCCCACTGTTACTGCCAGCTTAAGGGACACGGGTGGCACTGTGGTCTGAACCACTGAGCCTCTTGGGCTTGCTGATCAGAAGGTCGGCAGTTCGAATCCCCGCGATGGGGTGAGCTCCTCTGGCTCTGTCTCAGCTCCTGCCAGCCTAGCAGTTTGAAAGCACGCCAGCGCAAGTAGATAAGTAGGTACCGCTGCAGCAGGAAGGTAAATGGCATTTCCGTGTGCTCTGGTTTCCGTCACGGTGTCCCGCTGTGCCAGAAGCAATTTAGTCATGCTAGCCACATGACTCAGAAAGCTGTTTGTGGACAAACGTCCTCTTCCAATACTTGCATCAAAACACATCTGTCCTTCAAAATCTGAACTGCTCCAAATTTTATGATGCATTCTCCTCCTACAAAGATGGCATACATTAGAAGGGAGTGTGCACAAATATGTCTATGAGCAACAATAATTTTTGACAATGTGTTTTATTAGGGGAAATTGCTAGCAAAAATGCATTAATTAGTGTGCATGAAAACCCAGACTTTTTTTTTTTTTGCAGACTTTTAAAAAATATGCAAACTGATGTGGAAATCGCTTTAACTGAACTGAAGACGGGGAAAACAAGAGACTGAGAGAGCTATCAAAACTGACATTCTTCGACCCCTATCAGGAGTGAGATATAAATGTCAGAATGAAGATTTTTACTGGAGACAACCACCAGGAAATAAGGACAGCTGGTGTGTAATCATGGAGTCTGGTTCTGCTTCTTAAGTTCACTATCTGAAGAGCCTCCGTTCTCTCTCATTATTGCAAATGAGAAATGTGCAGCATGATCCTCTGTAAATTTCACAGAGTTCACCTGGACTTACTCTCAAAGCTGTAAGAGCCAGAGATATCATGTTGGAGCTTCACGTTTGCAGTCCAAGGTAATGTTCTTTTTGTAAAAGAAGTTGTGGGGATTCCCAATTTTGACTGGGACTAGCTCCCAGGCTGGAGAAAGGATTAGATCTCCCTCTCTGCAGGTCTAATCCTTTCTCCAGCTGGTGCCCTGAAGTCTTTATGAAGACGTCAATGACATCAGGAGATAGATGCATGAAAAAGAGGCATGAGGAACCATCTGTAACTGATAGTGGAACTGTCCCCCTAAGTTTCGCAGCCACTATTGTCTTGACTTCACAGATTCCTTAAATTCTTTGGGAACTCTACCTGAACTTTTGTCTGTTGTTGTCAGGAATACCTGGAGTATTATGAGGGACTTTCTAACAGCTTTATTGTGCTCTTCAGTTGGGAATAAACATTTTCCAATATTTTCTCAATGTATGTTCTTCTTCTCTTATGCTATATGTTAGGTGGATGTTAGGGGATGTCATTTCAGATTTAGGAGAAAAGGGACAAAGTCTCTTAATGAGGTTTTATATATTGAAGCTTAGCGCTCCAGTCCTAAATCCACATACCTGGGAAGAGTATGTGCAAACTGATGAATTTCGATCTTCCCGTTTCTCATTTCTCCAAGCTTAAACTCAGCTCTCCACATTTCCACAGCAGCTTGTGATTTTTAAAAACACCATCATGAAAATTTGTCAGCATTTTAATTATTTTCCCCCAATATCCACATTTGTATGCAACTTTGCCTAATATTTTTTTGTAAAAACAAATCCCCTCTTATATTGCATTTCTTGTATGTTATTTTTACTGATAGGTGCATAGTTGTGCACAATGTAGGTATTTTTGCAAACATGGCTGGAGAACAGCAATGCAAAATTCAGAGAAGTACAATTTTTTTGAATGGCAGCTCTGTTTTGATTTGTGCATTGTTTTGGAAACAGAAAGTTTGCCTTTGTATATGAATGGAATTGAATTTCTCCCGATCCCTACCTGGGAATATGCCCCACTGAGTTCAATGGAGTTTATTTCTGAACAGACGTGAGCAGCATTGCTGTACTAACACTCAGTGGTAGGCTGTTGTGACATTACTGTATGTAGCCTGACAACCACCCAGATGTTGGACGGCAAACGTCTACAGAAGGCTGCCTGTTCTCCTTGTGTTCACTCCCTGAGGGAGTTCAAAACCTACTTGGGCAGTGTGTCCCCACTTTCACGCATGTCTTGGAAGGGAAGCAAACACCTAGCAAGGGCTCCAGTTCCTGCCTCATTCAGTGTAAGCTTTCTGTACTATCCAACAAAGGGGATTTGAAGTTCACATAAAAAGCAGAGTGTTTTTAAAAAGCAATTAAAATAATTAAAGGCCATTTCAAAATGTTAGTAGCAGTGAATGCTGATACACACACACACATGCACACACGAGGCATCATTCCTATGCCCAGGTTGCAATTAGTGAAGCTTATTGTCAAAGAGAAAATGCATTTTATTTGAAACGGCGAGAAGAATGTATTAAGGGGAATGCATAAATTGGATTACCACTCAGCTGTTGTGCTAAGGGAAAAACAGATGGCACTCATTCTGTCCATGTAACACAATTATTAAGGACTTTAATGGGCAGCCATATAAGTTTTAATAATTTTTTAATGAAATTTATAAGGCAGTATACCCATCAGAACTAAAATTTTCAGACAAGAAGACAGATCTATTCAATCAAAAGATTTTGCATTGCTTTTTAATCACCACAGAAAGCTGCAATTACAAGAAAATAATGTCTTTCTAAAAATGAAAAGATAATTCTCTTCTTCGGTCTTTCCCACTCTTCCTTCACAAGAAATACTCAGCCCCATTAAGGCCTTAAATTCTAAGGAGCTTCTAAAAGAAGATGGATTCTCACTAAAACATTATGCATATTTTATGGCACTATTAACTTCCTCTTTAAGCTCTTTCACAGCAAGCTTTTTCTTTCTATAGAATGTGCTGAATTTGAAAGAAGGAGAAAAAAACACCTTAAAAACCCAAACAACCTTTTTTCCCCTCATTACACAAATTGCAAAACAGTTTCGTGATTTATAAAACATGATGATAAGAGTTGGCAGCTGATACCAGTTCTTGGGCAAGAAATGAATATACAACACCTAGAGTGTGTGCCCACATTTGCACATTTAATGCTTGATGCCTGCAGCATGCAGTGGTGGAGACTGTAACCATGGGTGAATCCTTCATCACAGATTTAACAAGTCAGAAATGGCCGAGTACCCGACGTCTCCTCAAATGCTAGCTTTGAATAGAGTCAACCCTATACATGGCTCCAATTTAAACCCTGTTTCTACGCATGGGGACGCGGGTGGCACTGTGGGTTAAACCACAGAGCCTAGGACTTGCCGATCAGAAGGTTGGCAATTCGAATCTGCGCGACGGGGTGAGCTCCCATTGCTCGGTCCCTGCTCCTGCCAACCTAGCAGTTTGAAAGCACATCAAAGTTTAAGTACAGTAGTACCTCGGGTTACATATGCTTCAGGTTACATACGCTTCAGGTTACAGACTCTGCTAACCCAGAAATAGTGCTGCAGGTTAAGCACTTTGCTTCAGGATGAGAACAGAAATCGTGCGGCAGCGGCGTAGCGGCAGCAGGAGGCCCCATTAGCTAAAGTGGTGCTTCAGGTTAAGAACAGTTTCAGGTTAAGTACGGACCTCCGGAATGAATTAAGTATTTAACCTGAGGTACCACTGTAGATAAATAGGTACCACTCCAGCAGGAAGGTAAATGGTGTTTCCGTGTGCTGCTCTGGTTCGCTGGCATGCTCTAGTCATGCTGGCCACATGACCTGGAAGGTGTACGCCGGCCCCTCAGCCAATAAAGCGAGATGAGCACCGCAACCCCAGAGTTGGCCACGACTGGACCTAATGGTCAGGGGTCCCTTTACCTTTACCTTTCTATGGATGCCCTCCTGCAAGGTCGCCAGGCACACCTTCTCCAAACCTTCACATGTTTTGTGTGCAGGTTGAAAAGGGGCTTGTATGTTGGCCTTGCAAGCTGCATTCCACCTCATCAGGTTATTGTGAGGATGCTTGCATTCCGGGCAGAGCACACATTGGGACTTTCAGGGGTAGGGCAAACACAGACTCAGCAGTTGATCACGCCACGGGCTGTCGACGCTCACCTGACTTCCAGTTGGTCGTGCTGCTGCTGCTGCTTACTAGGATAGGGAAGTCAGCAAGGTGGAAACACACCTCCAGAGCCAATCTTGTGCTCCTGCTGGTGTTTTTATGACACTGAGCTTGCTGCCGCCACTTCTCTACCTCCTGGCAAGCAGCTGCAACACAGCCAATCAGAGGTCAGGTGAGTGGTGCTGCCTCAATATGCCATCTGCGCACACACTACCCCACAACGCACTTTCTCACTTGTGTGTCCGGGCTGAATGCCTGAAATTTTGATGTTGCAGTGATTAAGGGGCATGTCTATCCATCTATCTATCTATCTGACTATCTATCTATCTATCTATCTAACTACCTGACTATCTATCTATCTATCTATGTAATTTTGTAGTGCAAATAGGAATGTGGTGGAATGTGGCAATGCCAGAGCAGTGCATCCCACAGTGAAACACAACAGGCAGTCTCATCTGCGGGTAGGTGCTTTCAACTTACAGGAAACTTCTAATTTATTTCTCACAGCACACTTGCTGTTCTCTTTCAGCACATAGTTTAGGAATCGCTGCTTTAGAAGATCTCAGTTTTCGATAGCTCAAGCTATTTCGTGCAAGTCACCGAGACTTTAAAAAGTTTAAGGTCTCTTGCTTGAGGCTCGGGGGCACTCACCAAACTTGGCTGGCAGAGCAAACTTCTCTGCAAATCTTTGGCTAATAATGAGTTTTCTTTGTAGGCATGGCTGCAGCTGAGAAACTGTTTTGTTCCTGTAGGGCAGGTTGTAAGGAGAAAGCACACAGGGAGTGGGGGGGATACAGAGATTCATTAGCAAGTATTTTCAGTGTGTTATCTCTCTGAGCTGTGGTGAACCTATTATCTGGCCATGATTATTCCTATACCTCTTCTAAAGACAAAGACAGAGGAGATGTACAGTGGGGTTTTAATTGGCAGTAACCTTACGTGAAGAGTCTTAGGAACATAGATTGGCAAAATCTGCCTTTAATGTGAATCAGAATTAGGTCTAAATACCTAATGCTTCTCAGGGCTGCATTAGGTAGGGTGAAGTGGCAGACTTCAGATAAAGCAAATTTTCATTTATTTGCTTTACAAGTGAGCCATACAAGAAAAGGTTGCTTTGCGACGTGTTCCTCCTCCAGGTGCCAGCCATGCCTTCCTCCCAGAATAATCCACTCCATTTTCTCTTCTGCCTCCCAATTTTCCATCCCACAACAGTAAATCAGAATTGGGTACCTACTGAACATAAACATTCCATACTGGCTGTTTGGGTATTTTCCTTCTTTAGGGGTTTTTCCTCCCTAAGATGCTCCCCCCCACACAAGTTCTTCAAAGCTTGGGATTCTCCCAACATACTGCTATCTCCCCCTTGTGCATGGATGGTACAATTGGTAAATAGCACATTTTCAAGGATCCAAGCTTGGGCTTATTGGGGTCAGGAGAACTCTGGGCTGCCCTGGATTGGGCCGGGCTGCCTGGAGCTGCTAACAGGGACTGGGTTGGAAAGCTGCAGAGGTCTGTTTTACTGGTGTATTCCCCACTAAGGTCAAATCCTGCAGGCTCACAAGTGTCTTCCCGATACACTTGCAAAGCAGCAGCCAGCAGAGTGAACCCTCTTTCTCTTAGTGAGGTGCAGGGCGAAGGAGATGCAGCTGCATTTAAACATTAGCTGCACCCCTAAATTGATTTGGGGCAAGAACAGGGGGGCTGCTTTACTGTTTTTCTATTGTATATTTGTTCTAATGAGACTGTTAACTGCTTTCTGCTGTATATCACTTAGATACGTTCATAATTTTTTAAAAAAATAAAATAAACGAGCCAAGTGGTCAGACTGAGTCAGACAATTGGTGCATTTAGTTCAGTATTGTCTCTACTGACTGCCAGTCCCTTATAAAATGTGTTAGGAAGGGGGGGGGTTATTGGGTTGTTTTTGTTTTTATTATGTATTTTTTGTTTCTATATTGTGGTTTTATGTTCCAAATGCCCTGAGATCTGTTGGTAAAGGGTGGTACACAAATATCATCATCATCATCATCATCATCTCTCCAAAGTTCCAAGCAGGGTTCTTTCCTAGCCTACTTGCAGATGCTGGGCATTGAAACTCTTCTGCATGCAAAGCAGTTGCTCTATACCACTGAGCAATGGCTTGAGATGTGAAGGTGTATGGGGGGGGACACACCCAGAAATGGGAGGGGGAGGGGAATTCCCAGTGTTTCTCCCTCCTGAGGCCTTCACATCTCAAGTTATGGCCCTTCCCATCTTGGCAAACTAATGGACAGCACAGATGTGAGCAGACTGAAAGCAAACAACAA